TTACACTTTTATCTTAAAGGACAAGCAAACTTTCAGGGTTCATAATGGGATAAGCATGTTTGAGACTGGTTACCTTCTGGCAGTTCACTGCATCTGGATATTTCTGAAAAGTATAGAGAAGCTCTTGAATTTTAAAAATATCTTAAAATACATTTTAGATGAAAAAATTGTAAAAGTTCTGCTTATAAGTTTACTTTTCTCCACAATTACAATATTTAAAACAAAGCTTTGTTGATTGGTGTTTGACGCATTTAAATTTAGAATGCTAGACACAATTCTATCCTATAATTTCAGGATGGCGGAAATAAATTCTTCCTTAACTTTGTTTTTCTTGGATGTAAACAGAAATCCAGCAGAGGTCATCATTATTTAGTACACCCAGTAAATAAATGTGAGAGGATTCATATCTGTACCAAATACCTCTTCAGATTGTTATTTTTTTTAAAAAAGCATGAAATAATTGATTCAAAAGCCAACTAACAGCGCATAAATAAAATATTTACTTTCTAAGAAAAACGGTAGCTTATCATCAAATTGTTTACTTGTCCTTTACTTTTTTTCAGGCAAACAAAACTGCCCCTCAATGCACTTGATCTTGGTAAGCATAAGCATGTCATATTCTCCTTAGAGAAAAATCTGTACAGAATTTCACTGTATCTACCACACTTTATTTTAAAATTTCCTCTTCCACTTAGAAAATGACTTCACCACACATTTAATTGTGTACTGGTATTAAAACATTGACACCCCAAGAACCTAATGAGAGAGGAGAAAAAAAAATCTCGTTACAATAGCCATTCATTTCTTTGCAAAATGTATCTGTAAACATTACATCAAAAACATAAAAATGTGCTTAACACTTGATAATATTAAGCTTAATAACGTGCTAATAAAATTACTTAGAAAACTTCCCCTCTCTTCAGATATGTAATTCTAAAATTAAATTGACCACCAATAAATGATGAAATAATAAAATCAGGACTAATCAGGATGCTACTTACCTGACAAATACAACTGAGAAATGATTTCTACATAGTGAGCTTCTTGAGAGCAGGGAACTATGTCTTTTTTATGTATATACAACACCCATAATACCTAGATAATGCCTCAAACATAGGCATTCAACATTTTAATGAACTCAAATGAATGTGCTTCTTGACATATACCTCTAGCAGAGTTTAAGAAAGCCTTGCAAACTTGGTCATTTGCACTCAGAAGCGAATATAGTTTTTAAAAACGCATTTGAATTTGCAGATCAAAAACCTCCAAGAACATACAAGTATGTAGAAAACAAGAAGATTTCTTTAGAAATCTGCCCTGAGTGAATAAACAGAACTACAAATTCTAAGAAATCAAGTAAGTATGGGGAATCCTGGGCAAACTGACTTCTATCGATGTTTTTCCGTATATTCCACTTGGAAAAAGAATGTTAGGTAAAATCTAATGACTACCTATCACTAACTAAAAGTAAAAGCAGATAATGGGGCAACTCTCCCTTGTTCATTGAACAAGAACAGAATATAACTTCTATAGCTGTATATACTAAAAGTTAGGCTGTTCAATCAAAATCGCAACACTTACTATGTCAATTAATATTTTAAAATACTATAATGAGCTAGTAAGAATATTAAAGCCAGACGTAATGATCTGAAATTGACATCACAAAGGACTTCACTTGTAAATAAATTCTCACTTTAACAAAAGTAATTGAACTCACAAATTGTTCTGAACTGAAGGAATCGTGTATTTTCAGATGAAGAAGTAAACACATGATTGCAGCCTCTTTGTAATGAACTATCAAGTGAAGTGTTTTGAATCCCCAGCAGAGGGAACAAAAAGGATCAATGCCTCCCACTTCGTACCTGTCATCCACCATAACCACCACCAATACACATCCCCTGGCCTCCACCGCCCCCAAAGTAGCTTCAGGGTTCTCCTTTCTTGTTACAGTCAGATTTTGGGTGTCTGGACTGTTTGTATTAAAGAGGCCTAGGTAATGTTTAAAGGTCCCTTCTAGCCATAACACTCTGTGACTTTGGGTAAGGAAAGGTCTGATGACTATTGAAGAAAGGATAAAATCTTAATTAAAAATTCTCAGTATGAAAGTGTGGCAAGAAGATGAACTCAAGTTCTTTCCAGAGTGCCTGACTAGAAAGCACTGAACAGTTTTTTTTTTTAATTCTGTTTGTGTACAGACTGGGTTTTAACTATATTCTTACAATAGAACATTAAATTAAATTAACTCCATTATACTGAACCCTTCTTTTACCAATTTATACTACAGGTAATTCTAGTAAGAGAAGCTCAACACAGGAGAAGAGCAACATTAATAATACTCATTCTCCTTTTATACTAACACAAACCACACCTGTTTCTGATGCTAACATTAATAAACACTTAAACATGTATTTAAAAAGTACAAATATCAAGATTTGGTGTGATGTGGCAATATCATCCCACTAGTAACAGGAAATGATCATTACCACAATGCGATAAACCAATTTTGTTTCCAGAAATGAAACCAACTACATTACAAATCTAGAATCAGAGTTTTTATATTATCACTCCTGAATGATATGAATATCATGGTATTATAAAAGATACATTTAGGATTTATTCCATAATAAACTCAAGTATCTATACTACAGTGCTTTGAGTTACCCCACTTAGAATCAGAGAATCATATAACTGGGCATAAAAAGACTTAAATCCTTATTTTACTATTGTTTTGATGAGTCATTGATTATAGGCTTGAATAAAAACAGGTGTAGGCCATCGTACAAAGGCAAACACAGATTTTTCTATTTTGAATTTCTGTTACTGTTTCTTAAATTATTGTTGATACAACATGTGGTGGAGTTTAATATATACTTAAAAATAAACTAGTATTAACTTTTTAAAAAAATATGGTCAAAGACTTCTAAAAATACCGGAACTCTTGGCTTACTGAGCACTCAGTTATGTAACATTAGACTGCTGCCATCATGTGGCAATATTATAAAACTACAGGTGTAGGTACATGTACTCATTTTCCTAATCTTAGTAGTAGTTTAGCAGTTCAGCTGCTTCTGCTATCAAATTAAGAGTAAAAAAAAAAAGTCTCTCCAAAAACCAAACCCCTTGCCCTCAAGTCAATTCCGACTCATGAAATCACTATAAATAACAAGTAATTGTTAGGGCTCTATCTTTGGCCTCATTAAGATTGTAGCTTTCTCTAAACAGTTAAGTGTCAAAACCAGGTATACACACATTTTACATTGCTGTTTCATTATTTCAATAATCTGAAGTGAAGAATGCCTTTTTGCAAGTCTAGTAAGTGACAAAGAAGCCCTGGTGGAGCAATGGTTAAAGCATTCAGCCGCTAACTGAAAGGTTGGCAGTTGGAACGTACCAGCCACTCTGCAGGAGAAGGATGTGGCAGTCTGCTTCCGTAAAGATTACAGCCCTATAGGCAGTTCTACTTGACAGCAATGGGTTTGGTTTTGGGGGAGTTTAGTAAGTGACAAAGCAAAGAAATGCTTAAAATTCTCCTGAATAGATGAACACATGAAAAAAAATATATATGGAGATCTTTACCACCCATATCAATTTTGACTACGTTAATCATTTCCACTTCTAAATTAATTTTATTGATGTTTCCTCCAAATGAGGTCTGACAGGAGTTTTAGGGAGTCCAACAGTAGGAACACCATGAGATTTCTAAAGCAAAAGGAACTGGGATCAAATCACTGCTCTCTGACACTAGCTGTGTAACTCTGAGCAAGTCACAGAATAACCTCTTCAGTCTCCATTTGCTTGGGTGTAAAAGTGGGAATCTTCCATTATCTCTTTCAAAGGTTGCTGACAGGATCAAAATAACTCATTTTGCCTATAGCACAGTGTGAGACATGAAAGCTCTCAAATACTAGCTTCCTTCCTTTCTACTTCAAAGTGATACTCAAGATGCACTGGAGTATGAACTCCTTAAGGGCAGGGACAGAGTATCATTCATTTAACACCAACATCCAGCTCAATAAATTACTGAGTGAAAGCATTTCATCATTCTAGTTCTTTAACCCCTCATCACAATCACTGCCTTAACAAATTGGGACAATACATACACCTAGACTATCAAAGAAACCATATACTTCAATATGGACTTAAATTATAGACTTATGGGTAGGAGTAAAACTATGAGTTACGCCTTGCTATTCAAACTATGATCCGTGGACCCGAAAGCATTGACAGCACTTGTTAGAAATAGACTCTCATTAGAAATGCAGGCTCTCAGGCTACACTCCAGAACTCCTGAAGCAGAATCTACATTTTAAAAAGATCTCCAGATGATCCATATGCACATTAGAGTTTGAGAAACACTGACTTACAAGATCCCAAGGTGGCCTGCCTGTTCAAAGGTTCTATTATGTGCCCTTCATGAACCTCCTTCGTTTGGGTCAAATTTTTAACTGGCTTTAATATGTTAGTGTATATTAGCTTATCAAATTATTTCCAAGGGATATTTGAAAGCAGATTATGAGGTGGGGAAAGACAAGAAGGAATAGTAGAAATTGGGGCATAAAAGGCAGGCCTCAGAGGATGGTACGACAGTCACCTGAGGTAGATGTTATAACAGAGGAAGGGGTATAAATGAACAGACACTTAAAAGTGAGATGGGAGAGTACTTAAATGATTTATTCATATGACAAATAAAACTAAACACCTACTATGCTAGGCAGAACTCGAGATGAATAAGATTGTTGTCCCTGCCTGGAGTTCAGTCTATTGAGGGACCTGGACATGTTTAGTATCCTATCTCATTACACCAACCTGGTAATTACCACGATAAAAGCCTGTGCAAACTATTATGGGAATAAAGTATCTATCTGAAGAGGTCAGCAAAAACTCCACAGGTAATGTCAGAAATGAGTACTAAAGGGAGAATTCACTAGAAGGAAAAGGAAAGGGGCACCCCTGGCAGAGAGAAAAGCTTATAGAAAACAACAGTCATGAAAAATCACGGTTTGAGGAACTACAAGATTTGGCACGGCTGGAGTATAGGATACATACAAGGAAAAGGCCAAGGTTAGGGTGGCGAAGATGCCGGGTCACAAAAGGCTTTGTGTGCCAGGCTGAGGAGCCAGAATTTATATGCAATCCTTCAGTGGGCAACCCAAACCTACAGAAAAAGTCTAAATTCCATAACATAACATTCAAGTCCCAGTCTGCCAGGGATTCAAGGCACTTTTAATCTGTCACTACCACTACATTCCTCCCCCACCACCAAAATCCTGCCTGCCTCTTCTTCTCATGTCCAATTGTTTTCATCCATTCTCAATGTGCTGTCCCAGCTCTTCAACTTCAAACTTAGGTACTGCCTATACTTTTGATTTTGCAATCCTGGGGTACACTTAAATTAAACCTACTGATTCATCCATAATTGAAGCTGGATCAAAGAAATCAGGCTTCAGCTCTGTTCTCTCTCGTCTGTTCTTTGACGGTGGCTACAGGGGAAAAAAAAAAGTTCACACTTGCAATTTCTCTAAACCAGACAGTAATAGAAAACATTCAAATTACTTATCATTAAGTATTCACATGATCTATGTAATTGCAAGTGTACCTTACAATATTTTAAATACTGCATACTCAGATTATAAAATGTTTAAAAGTACAAAAGCAATTTATTCTTGGAAAATTATTCTGAAAGACAGTAACTAGAAAACCTGTTTTACTTTTTGCTTTCTTAATATGCCTCCTCAAATCTTCACTTTTCTTTAAAGGCACCAAACTGTACTAGAGATACACCGTGGTATACTAAAAAGTAGAATCAGAAGAACTGGCTTATAGTCTCAGCTTTACTGCTTCCTGGTTTTGTCTCCTTGGATAAGGTAACTGCCTGAGCTTTAATATCCTCAATCGACTTAAATTAGCTCACTAAGTTGAGTGAGATATGTGGCAAAGTTAGGTATGTGGAAGCACTTTGTATGCTTATAAAGTCCTAATAATATATCTGATGTAACTACTATATTAATAAAGAACATACTATTACATATATTTGCTTATATTCTTCCAAAGTTTATGCAATTTTACTTTACTATCTGATATGGAACTGTGTCTCAATAACAGGGTAGTGCTGAACTCAACACTCTGTAACATTTTGATAATGATAAATAAATAGAAAATTGTAAGGTGATGTGATACTTAGTACATCTCCATGAAATATTTCTGAAAAACTTCATGCCATGAAGTATTTTATTTTCATGGTCAATATGATATAATGTACAGTAAAATATATACTTTAAATTTATATATTCCTAAATTAACCTCAAAGGCAAACATGCTATTTTCATCACCTTAACCTAGGATCTACCACACTCACCATACTCACCACCCTCTCTCCTCAATCCCTTCTCATATACCTAAACACCTGGCAACTATTTAAATTTTTTTTCAAAACTTATTTTTCATGGCAAATATTTCTCTCCTCTAATAGACATGTATAAGACTCCCCAACTTAATTTCCAAATAATATAAAACGAAAATCTTACAGAAATCATTAAGCTTCTTACCAAGTCTATATCCATGGTATCAAAATCCATTCCCTCGTTAAGATCCTCAATCCTCCCTTCTGAGGACATCATAACATCTTCAACAATTGGCTCTTCATCATCTTCCATTAGGCTTGTACCACGCCGACTAGAGAAATACAAAACAAGGTCAAGATCTGAACTAATGTGGTAGCTATTAATACACTGGCAGCAACTATGTGGCTCTCTATACTCAATTTTAATGGAAAATGATGGAATTAAAGGTCAGGGAGAATGATTAGGCATTGATCATGTCATCAGTGATGTCAAAACCCCAATGTTCACTTGTCTAAAAATGCTAAGGAGTTATGTTTATCCTACATTATTTTAAGACATTTAGCTTAATAGTTCTGATATCCCATATACAAGTTCAATGAGAAATTCCCACATGGGAACATACAAGATACCTCAAATCCTTTTTGAAAGTAGGCAGGGTACAAATTAATAAACAAACATAAAACAGAGACCAAAGAAAATAACATTCTCCAAATACATATTATCTTCATCAGTAAATAATGTTAATTTCACCCAATCACTCACTCATTCATTCAGTACCTAATGAATACCAGGCACTCACTCACTCATTCACTCAGTGCCTACTATGTGCTAGGTGTACACTGTGCCCTATGGATGCAAAAAAAGATGAAAACGATATATGGTTCCTGCCCTCAAGGAGCTCACAATCTACTATGGGAAACAGAAGTAAACACTTATGACAAAATGTGATAAATACTGCAATAGAAGCATGTATGCATCAAATGCTAGCTATGAGGAAATACCGAAAATAAGATAATTCTGCCTCAGAATACTGGAACTTGCATTCTGTGCCCTATAAAATGCAAACCTACGATATATATGGGAAAGTAAAATTAAGACCAAAAACTCTGTATGTTATCACATGATTATAGAGAATAAACTCAAGTTCACAAATTAGTCCAGATCAGCATAAAATAGTCAACATATAATAGTGAAATTAAGTGTGACAGGCTCACCACATTGGCCAACTTTCCAAAAACAAACAAAACAAATCAATTATTTATTGAATGCTTACAACTTACATGATATTATGCTGGGTCTTAAAAGATATAAAAATAGAAAGAACTTTCAAGCTTCGTCTAGTGGGGAAGAAAAATGTGTTGACAACTGGTCCTTATTTCCTAAAAGTTCTGAATAATAAAAGACAGTTTTACTGTATTTGGTGGAGACAACTGCGATGGGAATATGTGTGCTTTACAGTCCATGTTATGGAAAACCAGAAATCCATTCTGCCTTTCGTTTGGAGTATGAGAAAGATATATGTGATATGAACTATGGGGGAAAAAAACACCATTACAGAAAACTTTCTGCAAAACAAAAATGCTTTATAGTACCAGGCAATAAACCACTTATGATACAACAACCAAAAGAATCTCTGGTGATAATTGTTTTACTGGGATAATCCCTTGGAGTTGCCTGGGGGGAGTTTACCTATAATTGGGAACTAAAATGAACTGCAAACCAAAATATAATGAAAAATGGTACTGTGTAATGAAATGCTGTGGAGGAAATCTTGTGAACCGGTGGAAAGTCTCCAGGGGAGAGATATGGACCAAATGATTGCATGGCAGAATTCTCGAATTTCTGGGCTGGTGTCTGGTTAGATGCCAAGAAATCAGCTGTAGAATTCAGTATGAAATAAAAACAAATATTAAGGGGAATGTGGCCATAGAAACTGAGAAAAGAGGAGAGAAACAAGTGGTATTACAGATGATGACCATGTTAGCCAAGTTAGGATCAGAATACATACGTGTAATAGAGAATACTTTGTCTCCAGACATTCTTAATACCTTTCTGGAGGTAACTAAAGTGAATCTATGTAGGTTACCACTCGTGGTAAATGACCATTTCTCAAGAAAAAAATAAGTGAAACTTTTATCATTTAAAAAATATATAAATTTTTTTTTAAAAGGGAGAGGGTTTAACATTACTATCGCCTAGTATTAAAACATGTATCACATTTTTACAAGTTCAAAGCTTTCAAACTTAAAAACTTAATCAAAAGCATCATACCTTCCCCTTTATACCAACCAAGACACGAAAAACATTATCTAAAGACTGCCTGTCTGACACTTCTTTAAGAGTCAAAGCTAATGAAGATTTCAGAAAGATTTATAAAGTTGTCATACAGATTCCAGTAAAATCAAAGTATCTGAAAGTTAAACTACAAAATTTTAAAGCACTGAACATTTAACCATTCAATGAACATTTACCGAGCACCTTTTATGTGCCAAGCACTGACAAGCAATGAATGTGGTCCCTGCCCTTGAGGAGCTCACAGTCTAGTGAAAGGGACAAACTCATAAACAAATAATTACAATACCACATGATAAATGCTGTAAGAAATATCAATATACAAAGTGTTATGGGAGCATAGATGACTGCAGCTTCATGTGACACCTGAGCTTGTTCTTTTACGATGACTTTATCAGTTGCCAGGGAATGGGATATGACGCTAAAATGTAGGAAGGGTCATATTTTGAAGGGTCTTGCATGCCATGAGCTAAGGAGTTTGGACTTTATCCTGCAGGCAATGGGGAGCCATGGAAAGGTTTTAAGTAGAAGAGTTACATGATCAAATTTTTATTCTAGAATAATTCTTAATGGCAGTGTGAATGATGAAGTAGTGGTGGGGGAAGGTGGTGGGAGGGGAGGGGTCTGATGAGGGGATAAATAAATGGGAGATTTGAGGGAAGAAAATCAGTTAGGAAGCTAATACAATAGTTCAGGTGAGAGATGAAAGCCTGAACTGATGAGGGGAAGCAATTAAGATGTAACAAAACTGGATTTTTGACTATAATTCTGTGTACCAAAATAAACAAGGATTTATATTTAAACTTTTCCAACAGATCAACCTAGGATTGGTCCTTTGGCTAACTAGTTAATAGTGAACTTTAAAAGACTTTTTTTTTTCTGTTGGAAAGAGCAATTTTTAGTTCCTTGATTATTTCAGCTCAGTCACTCTAGAGAGTCTGCTGAAATTTTTAGGTAAGGCACACATTAAAATATGTTAAAATAAATTAGTGAACTTCCTAGACTCAGACAATAAGGCACTCTCACTTACATGGCATGCTGAAGATTAGTTCGCAGTTTAACATAGCTCATTGCTGCTCTCTCCTGCTGCTGCCTTGCTTCCTCTTGTTGTCTTTGAGCTAACATCCATGTTACCTGCGTGCTTCAAGGAGAATTTTATTCTTCTTTTAACGTAACTTTTTTCTATGTAATTAATAAAGATATAGTACAGAAAATTATCAAATGTACTTACTTATAATCAAGAGGAGTTTGATGGTGTTCAGTCTGCATTGGATAGACACTCATGAAGCTATCTTCGGGTCGTAATCTTTTGGGCTCTCTCATAATAGTTGAGGTGAGCTGTGGTGTCTGCATCATAACTGGGGTGTGCAGCGTTTGTTCTCTGCTTAACCACATACTATCACTACTACTACTTTCTTCAGCTGAAAAAGAAAATTAACAGCAGTGAAGTTCAGGCACAAATTTTGACTAATAAGATGTCTAATATAACTAGTACAGGTCAACAAACATCTAGTTGCATTCCACACACTGGTGCTAGGAACAGGGAGGTACAAAGGTACACAAGGTACAGTCTCTACCCTGCCCTTAAAGTCAACTTTTGGAGAATGAAAAAAGAGGCATCTGAAATACATACAGTGTGGTAAGTGCTAGAAGAGAGGTAAGCACCAGTGGAATGGGTGCAATGAGAGAAATCAGAACAGAGAAGATATTGGCTGAGCTGTGATGGGTTTTCTAAGCAGAGGGGGAAAAAATAAGCAAAAGGACTAAAGCATGAAACAGTAACTGGACCATACTAATTTGCTGACATTCAGCCATTTTTGACCTACAAAAACAACAATTTCATATGGCTCAACCTAACAGTTTGGTATTCCCGGAGTATAAAGTCTAAAGAGAGTGGAAAAAGATAAGGCTGGATAAAGACATAAGAATTAATTTGTGCAAAGTCTTGTATGCTGTGTTAAGGTGACAAGGAACTCCTGCTGAAAGTTTTAAGGAAGGGAAGCAATTTGGTGAGCAACATGTTTTAGTCAGAGTATATGGTGGCAGTGTGGAGGGTGGATTTAATAGGAACACTGGTGAACAAACAGGCCAATTAGGGGCTAACTGTATAGCCCAGAAGTGTTACAAGTGGTAACAGGAATGGAGAAAATGGGAAAGTGGTTCCCAATCTATGAGATGCAGACACCTGATCAGGTCTTAGTAATAACTGCAAGGGATCAATACCTCCATACGCACACGAAGCACTGGACTGAAAAAAAGAACATGTTTCACACCTGCGAACATGAGTTTTTTTTCAAATGTCTGAAGTTGCTATCATGATTAATAAAAGATAAATTCCATACAAGTATAACTGAATTAAAAGGAATTTTTTAAAATCACATATTTGGGAGGTACAATTGACAGCACTTGATTAACTGAATGTGAATATGGAGGAAAACTTCCTAGAAGATTATTTATACACATGCATATATAAGTTTTTAAGAGGGGAGTGAAAAGAAAAATGTGCTAATAGCTAATACCTAGTAACAGTAATGTGCTAATAATAGTAACACACAAATCTCACGATTTGCGATATAATTACATCAACCTTTAAGTTTGACTGTGTTTAGGCTCCAATTTTGTCTTCAGAACTGCACTGACCAAGACAACTTAAACATGCTTATCATTCATTCTTTTAACTTACTAATTTAACCTCAATTTCTACGGCTCTCTCAAAAACCTAAGAGAGTACTGACTCTTTCTGTAAAAACTGAAGTATCTGGTTTGATAATCTATTTTTAAAATGTTATATAAATACCAATTCATAAGGAAAAGAAGAGATTTAATGGCCCACATAAATCCATAATATTAACTATTGGTTCAGATGAGAGTAACGTTTTAAAATTTATAGTGATCTTCAGGAAACGTCCTTTAATTTGATGACTTCTAAACTTTAAAAAAAAAAAAAGGAAAGCAAAGAAGGAAAACTTCTTTTAATTTCTTATAAACCCATCAGCTCTATCTCAACTGGCTACAGATACTGTAAAAGATTTTTTTTTTAATTGATTGGGATGCTGAAATTATATAAGCCAAATCTAAAATTATACTAAAGTTAATATTATTAGACAAAAGATACTAAAACAATCCATGGAACAATCAAGTTTTTAACACTATATACTTGATAATAAATTGTGGCTGATGAATTATGTAGCAATTTTAAAATACAGCCCTAAAATTCTTTGACACTCCTCACATTTTAAGGTGGGGGGATTATGTCCCCTCCTCTTGAATCTGGGCTCTGCAACTGCTTGGCCAATAGAATATGGCAGAAGTGACGCCATGCCAGCTTCTGGGCCCAGGATTTAAGAAACTGGCAGCTTCTACTTCCTCTCTCCTGGGACACCACTTGCTCTTGGAACCCAGCCACACGCCGTGAGGAAGGCAAACAACCACATGCAGAGGCCACGTGTAGGTGTTCTGGCAGACAGCCCAGCTGATGGTCCCAGCTGACAGCCTGCATCAGATATGTAAGTGAAGATGCCTCCAAAACATTCCAGCCCCAGCCTTTGAATTGTCCTAGCTGAGGCGCCAGACATCATGGAGCTGTCACTGCTATGCCCTAAGTACTGGGGTAGTTTGTTCCTCAGAAGTAGTATCTAGAACAATTCTTGACAACCATGCGAATTTGTTTAAAGACTCTTAAGAAAAGGAACAAAGCTCCCAGATCCATTTTGAACCAAACCTGGAGTGTTAGGAGTCCAAGAGCTTCAAGTATCATAACGAATTCACATCTCTAAGATTTGCGCCTCTAGACAGTACTTTCTATTTCTTCACGATAAATGACCTCTTCATAGAAATTCAGAAGTTGCAACCTTTCTGAATCTGTTGCTATACTTAAGCTAGATGATCTGATCTCTTAGGAAATGACTAACTATAATACTGAGTCTATATCCTGATGCATACAATATAACAGTGATTAAAAAGCAGATGCTCTAGAGTGAGACTGCCTTGCTCTGCTAGTTAACATCTGTATGACCCTGGGTACGTTACTTAATCTCTCTGTACTTAGTTTTCTCATTTTGAAAAATGAGATGTACCTCAGAGTTGTGAGAATCGAGTTTATGCATATAAACTGCTTAAAACAGCACACTTATTATATTAACGACATGTTGTGTAAGCTATTATTAAACAACACATACACCAAATAAGATGAACCTTAATGGCAATTCAGCTGGCAAACATTAGGAATAAATATAAAGAGAATTAACTATATTCTTACTGAGTGCGAGCTGCATGCCCTCAACCACTTTCCGTTTTCCAGTAGCTGGTTTTGATTTTTTACTCCGCACAGTTGATCCTCGGCTGCTGATTCCACTTATAACCGACATGGTGTCATCATCGCCACCAGCTAGCAAAGAATTTCGGTAAGACATCAATGGAAGCCACACATCTTCTCTTCGGAGTGACATCTGAAAGGTCATGAACTTTTCCAAGTAAACATACCTTAAAAAGAAAAAGAAACAATTAAACAAGCTTTGATACATAAAACTGCCACTGTTTTTTCCTTTTCCTCCAGTAATCTTAAGGTATAAATATCGTAAAGGACATTTAGTGATTTAATGAGAATTAAAAGGGAAAGAAAGTTAAGTTTGAAACAGAATAATGGCTGATAACCCTACATTTTCTCCCAAAAGTATACAGTAAAACTGTAGGCTGTTAGTGATTATTTTCCCCCCAAAGATGTCTACTATAGAAGAACAAACCTGAGTCATATTACTGGAAAGAACACAGGATCTGAAGTCAAACAACTTGGATTCTAGTCCCAGTTCTATGAACTCTTAGTTGTGTGAGCATGGGCATATTATATTATATTATATTATTTATCACTCAATCTTAGCCTCATCAGTACATTGAGACAATTCTGTTTTTGTCTTAATTTAGCCATGTAGACCTATGTAGTTTTGTTCTTTCATTTTGATTATTGTACGGTTTCCACTGTATTATATCAATCTATTGATCAATTTTCTACTTCTTGTATGTTTAGGTTGTTTTTGAGGTTTTCCCGATTCAAACAATGCAACAGTGAACATTCTTTCATAGGCATCCTGGAGCACATGTGCAAGAGTTTCTCTAGCTCTCTACCTATGAGTTTAATTGCTGGGTCATGAGGTGGGGAGAAACTTAAACTTTACCAGATATTGCCAAATAGTTCCACAAAGTGGTCTTGTATCAATTTACACTCTCACCAGCAACGTACAAAAGTTTTACTGCACCACATCCTTGGCAATACTGGGTACTATCAGACTTCTTTATTTTTGCTAATTTGCTGGGTGAAAGATTGTACTTCATTGTTTTAGTTCGTATTTGTGTAACTACTACTGTGTATGCAACTTTTTAATTGGGATAAGTTTATATATAATAAAATGCACAGAATCAGAAATTTCAAGAAGTAATGTACCAAAGCTCATAAAAATAAGTAAACAACACAACCATAATTCAAATTCCAGGCTTCTGAGACTAACTTCAGTGAATTTATTGGCTAAATTATGCTTCCAATACATGAAGAGAATAATTTATCACCTAAGTGTAAAGTACGATTCAAATATTTGCTGTCATAATAATGACTAATTCCAATCAATCTGAATTGGTAAAGATAAAGGACAGGATACATCAGTTACAAAATATACTAGTTTTGTGTAAATTATTCAGTATTTCTTTGTAATCATATATACTTCAGTCATACAAAACAGTACAAAACACCACTCCTCAAAGTGTGGTCTGCAGATCGGCTACCAGTCTGAGAACTATTACCAGTCTGGGACAAAGTAAGGAGCTTAAGCCAAAATATACTCACTGGCAGAGAGATTTACAACTATGTACCCGCCACACAGCTTAAATAGAACATTACAGAAAAGTAGCCTTCCTTGAAGCTATCATCCTTTCTACTCCTCCTCCCCAAAGGCTACTTACTAACCTGAATTTGCTATTTATCATCCCTAGGCATATTTGTGTACGTTTAACACACATTTACGTCTGTAAACATAGGAGTTTTATACTTTGCTTTCTCCATTCAACACTGTTTTTGTCTTAATTTAGCCATGTAGATAAAGTAATAAAAGTAAAAAGATAAAACAGCAACTTCCACTTTCCAGTGTAGTCACAGCTCAAGACACAGACTAACTAGGATGGTTCCAACTTTATCGTCATTTAAATGTTGCAAGTTAAGAATATAAATAAGAATACATAAAGTATTCAAGTTATACCTCTAAAGCCACAAATACACTGGGAGGAGAACTCACAGAATTAAAATAGAATATTATACATAAAATATAGTTGTAATACTTAAATTTAAAAATTTCTGGACTACTAAGTTTTCATGCATTAATGCCTACATTTTTAATCCATGTGTTTGGAGGGGAGAGAAACTAAGTATAACGATTACTCTGAAGAATTCTAAAATAAAGCTAAACAGCATTTCTAATAAATACATACACAGTTCTTTTGTCTTGTCGGAGTAGTTTAGAAGAAAATTCACTCAGAATATCAAGAAATGCCAAATTTAAAGGTGGATGGCTCTCCCCTTGTGGATTAGGTTCTTTAAAAGCAAATTCTATGCCATCTCTGCAAAGAGAAAAAAGATTTAAATAAACATTTAAGGGACTACAATATAAAAACTTAGTAACTTGGAAAGGAAAATTCTTTAATTTCTTTCCACTGCTAAGATCTTTATTTTGGCATGTAATTAATCCAAGGAATACAGAGTAAAAAGCTTGTAGCGTGAAAAGAAGCAAATATATTTACATTTTATGCCACTGTTACTTTCTTTAACCCCCCCACCCCCCATACACACAAGCAATAAAATGTTCCTCTAACCTTCAGAATTAAGGTGCTAGCCTTCAGTTTGATTGTGGTTTGGTATATCTATATCTTTGTTCAGTACTTTTTTCCCATAGAAAATAAACCCAAATTCTGTCATATAATGATGAATACATTTTCTGAAATTTTCAAGACATAAAGGAGACCTACTATAGCACGAAGGGCTAACTTAAAAATAACAAAGACTATCTTTAACCAACCAATTTAAGAGTAAATTTTTAAGAATAATTTCACTCAGAGCCCTTTTAAACTGTATTTATGTGGCAATACAGTAATATTAATTCAACATTATATTTCATCAAAATTGTAACTTAGTAAAGAATCCAGATATAATTGGAAAGTGAAAGAAGAAAGGCTATTACATAAAGAAAATCATATATTACTTCTGAAAATCATTACCCATATGTGGGGTCCTTAAATATCACCTAAAATTTTCATCCAGTGTATTAAAAGGCATAAAATGAATTTGAGAGTTTTAGAGCAAAGTAAAAGGAGAGAGTGAATTAAAGTTGGCGAAGATGTGGCCTTAACTTTAACAATAGCAGAAAAATATTTTCAGGGAGACATTTAACACTTTTATAACTAAGTCGGGAAGGAGAAAAAGAGACATAAATAAAGCATGGAACTGTCAATGAAAGAAAGTTCAAGCCACTTGATTTTCCCAAAGGTAAAGATTTTTAATCCACAATTCAGAGGTAAAGGGTGTTATTAATACATAAATGTTGGTTATGTTAAAGCTCTAATATGCATCCACACTTCAAAAGTGTAACTGATCACTAAGTTATATGTCCAAAATAAAACCAGATGATTTTCGATTTTCATAAGAGGAATAAAATACACAAATAAAAAGTTGTGGCCCAAAACTGGAAAAAGTCATTACAAAATAGAGAAAAGAACCAGAAAGAGAAAGCTTGAGAAAAAGGAGGAGTTAAGCTTCAACGATTTCTCTGCCTAGCAGTGAGACTATGACAAAAGCTTTGGAAAAGGAGATTTTTTAACGCCTGATAAATACATGCTACTTTGCTTCACATTAATTTAATAAAGATTTTGCGTGGTTTTAATTAAAACAGACTTTCGTATTAAGGGTGTTTTAGCTCCAAGTCATTTGTTAATTGAGATATTGCTATTACTGGTTCTTAAACTCAAGAAAAGAGAATATGGTATAGATTTGTAAACAAATCATAAAGTATCCATTTGGTTATTCCAAATGAAATGATTAGATACAAAAAAAACCTCATGATTAAGAAATAATAGAGATGAATAAAATATCTGGAGATTACTTGTGTAGCATGGCAATGGCTTCTCTGGTTTTCAACTGATCAAGTCCAAAAGTTAAAGCAAAACGTCGAGCAAGTTCTTTTATGCCACTGAATGTTGGGGATGATCTATCAAAATTATAGCCATTTTCTTGTATCATTTCATTGAAGAGCTGTTTGGATAGAAAGAAAGCATATTAAGGTCTTTTTTAATAACTAAGAATTATGAACACCTTTTAGAATACCATCTTTTCTATTAATATAGTAAGAGCTCAGTAAACAAAGCACTATATTTTATAACACATATTTTAAAAAACACATGATAGAAATGAATTAAAATGCAGCACTTTGTACATTAAGACTATAGGTAGTTGTTGACACTAGAAACTCTTTAGGCTAGTTTTGGCAGAATTCTCTTCTACTGATATTAACTGGATATTAACACAGCATATAAAGAAAAAGGAAGCCCACTAAACGTAGACAACTACGCTGATATTCTTACTATTTATTCTTAAGCAACGAATCTTCAAGAACTTTCATCATTAACAAAAGAAAATACTATTTTCAACTACCAAATTAACAAATTTTTAAAAAGATAATGCCCACTACTGATAAGAATACAGTGAAATGAGCTGCTGGGAGCATAAACTGAGATAAACTTTTGGCAATATGTAGTGGACGCTTTAGAATTTTCATGCCCTTTGACTAAGCAATTCTAATTCTAGGATTTTACCTTAAAAAAATGAGGATAGTAATAACACAATGCACAGGTACAGAAATGTTTGTTTCACTGCTATTTATAATGGCAAAATTTGGAAAAGACCTCAACATCAAACAAGAGATCTTGGTTAAATTATGCTACATTTATAAAATGGAATGTTATACAGTCATTAAAAATGCTGAGGAAAGTGATTATGTGAAAGTGTTCCTGATTTATAAGTATGAAAAGGGAGGCTGCAAAACAGAATGTTCAATATGATTTAATTTTATAAAAACTAGGATTATATGTATGCATACTAAGATCAAGGTTATTGAAAATTTAAAATGCTATTCCTAAGTGAAAAACTTAAGGCTAATTTGTATTTTTTCCATTTTCCAAACTTTCTCCAGTAAGCAATATTATTTTATAAATTTTATTTTATTCATTTTAATAAATACTATTCGAATTTGTCGATGAAATTAAGAACTTTCATATCTACATTTCTAAAAATCAAGAGCTTATCAAATGGATTATGTTTTGGATGCAAATTTGGCCTCTACCAGGTACACTAAGCAAATAATTTTTACCTAATTTAAACCTGCCTCACCACTGCTAAAATGAAAATGGCTTTTGCCTTTTGATTATATACCTACACTCATTATTTTTAAGTGCTACACAAAAGCCACTGCAGGGATGTATTACATATTTATCTAATACCCTATTGACAGATATTTGGAACAGTTCTGATTTCCTGCTACTTAAGAATGTTGAAATGCACAAGCATGTACACCTATTTTGCAAACTTGTCCTATTACTATCTTGGATAAAGTTTTAAAAGTAGAATTGCAGTCTCAAACGATATATATGTTTTAAATTTTTACATAAATTGCCAAACTGTCTACCAGGAAAGTTGTACCAATCTATACTGCTGATGGGTGTACTCATTTTCCCCATACCTTAGACAGCTATAGGACTTGTCAACTTTACCATTCTGAAAGCAAAATATAAATCTCACTTGCACTTCTTATTCTACTGCGGAGGTTGAATATCTCGTATTTCTATTTTTATGAATTGTCTGTTGTATCCTTTGCCCAGTTTTCTGTTACCTTGTAGACTATTAAGTATTAGTTAATGTAAGTACTCTTAATGTCTTACCTGTTGCAAACTGAGAATAAGTGTCTTTGCACACTGAATTTTGTCTATCTGTCTTGTTTTACTCATTGTTTCCTTGATAATATCTCCATAGTCATTGTAATACTAGAAAAGAAATTTGCACAAATTAGCAGAGCTGTATCTTTTTAAATTTATTGGACAATAATACTAAGTTTAGGTTAGTCATGTCAGCTTGTCACGAAGCATGTATTTGGTGGAAATTATGCCTTCAAAGACCTGAAAGAAATGGTACCAAAGAATGTTACCAAAACTTTAAGATCTTTTCTAAGTACACAGGGATTACTTCAGTAACTTAAAATACCAGACAGTTAAGATCTAATCAAATTAAGCTCAGGACTTGATTTTAAGTTAAAGAGGTACAGAATAAAATAATAATTAGGTTATGCAGATTTTCACAAGCAACACAAAGGATATGAACACTCTTTGTGAACTATTAAGACAATTAATATAATCATTACTTTCATGTCTGAAAAGTTCTTCATTGCTACTGAATATGTACTTCCAGTGCCATTCTTAACTTTAGTATTTTGGCTTGTAGAAAACAACAACCTGTATACAACATTTAAAAGATAACTTATTGTATGAGATTATTTACATTACACGTCGCATGGAATTTTTTTCTAATTTAAGATCCTGTTCCAAAATAGATATGTAACAACTATCAGAGATTAACAAGATAATCACGCCATGAGTCACAACTGACTCGACAGCAAATGGTTTGGTTTTAGTTTATGGTTACTAAAATTGACTTTAATCTAGAATATATAAGTCTAGAAGTTTAAAATTTGTTAATTGACTTTATAAATAATCTTAGTTTAAAAAAAAAAACTCTAGCAATTATCATGCCAAAGTTCCAAAGTAATTTTCACATTGTTCCATGGTGCTAGTTTTATCATGAAGCAAAATATTCCAAAGAGAGGATTAACTGATGTTTAACAAATTTACTACGTATATTTTCTCGAAAGCTAAGGTTTAAAAAAGTTTACATTTGCATCTCAAGACTTTACTTGAGAAAGGAATAAAGAAAAATTATCTTACCATATTTAGTCACATTTCCTTAGTACAATTAGCAATATCCTCTTTACTGCAACTTAAATGGAGAATCTTGCATATATTTATGAAAATTATTAATAACTCACTATGAATCAAATCAGACTTGCAGAACCAAAAGGAACCTCAGCTATCACAGTGGAAGAGATGAAGAAACTCAGGCTTCAAAATGTATTGAGTTACTCAAGGTCACATGCTGCATAGTAATCAAGCCAAAACTACCATTCAGGTCTCCTGACCCCTAAAACAGCACTTGTTAATGCTGTATCAAGCAGAGGAGTGGTATCACCCTATCTTAAACTAAACCACAAACGCAATTTTTAATAGTGACAGTTAAGACAGTTTCCAATATTTTAAGCATAAATGAACTCAATAAAACCAGTGTCCATTAACTGAAGGAACAGGGAAGATATGAGGAAATGTTATTGAAAATATTAAAGATTTTAAAACATCATTTCTTTTATACTAGAGAAGCAATTCACTATTTCAAAAATTCAGTGGCAGAAGTCACACAGCTATGTTATCATTTAAACATTTTAAATCTATCTCAGCTATCCATTTTTCAAGTTTACCTTCATATACTGCTTGAAGATATCTGCAGCTGTATTCATCTCCACTACAGTATATACAATTAGCTTACAAAATGCTGCGAGTAAATTTCTCCTCTTGTGCAGAGCTTCGATTTTACTGGCTTCGTCCTCCTGCTGACCATCTGGGGAAAGAGTTCTAAACGTTAAGCCATCTGTATTTTATCTCAACCCAATTATTTTTTTTAACTCTCACTGTAAAACATCCTTATTTTTGAGAATTTGAAAAATAAGGACATTTAAAATAAAATTTAAAACTACCCATTATACTGTAACTCGAATATAATCACTCTTAATATCTCACTGAACGACCAGCCCATATATTCCAACAGATGAAATTTCTGTGAAACCAAATAATAATCAGAAGGTTGCTTGGTGAGCATGGAACAGGCACAAATGGAGTGAGATTGAGGAATTGATGGTTAGTGAAGTCAGGCTAAGCTGGTCTAACACATTGATCTACTTCCCTAATAGGAACAGTTTGCCAATGAGATCTGCATATCCAAATGCTGTCGGTTAAGGTTCCTTCTTCCCTGGATGCAGCCAGCTCTCAGAAACTCTTCCATTTCTCCCCACTTCACCCCTGATTCTTACTGACACATTTTTCCTTTATAGACATTAAATATATTCTGTTAGACTGGCCTGGGAAACTGTCTTTTTTAAGATAACATTGTATATTTCTGCTCTAATCCATAATGTGGGCTCTTGATACTCATTTCTCAAAGAACAGAATTATTTCTAAATTCTTAGTGGGAGAAGTCTCACTGAAGCCTCCAAGTACTATCAAAGGAATGCTTCCAATTACTTGTAAATAAAACTGTGATGAAGCCTTTTACATAAAGAAGTTGTGTAAAGAATTTTCCTCTGGATATGTTTTTAACAAGTAATTTTGTTGTAAAACCATCTCATATTAACTAACATTCCTTTGGTTACAAGTAAAGTTAAAGTCCTTTTACATGACTTTCAGCTACTTATATATTTCCTTCTTCATGAATAGTCAGCACATATCCTGTCAGCTCTTCAATGTAAGATTCTCAATTAAAAAAAAAAAAGTGTAAAATAAGACTGTTCTTTTAAACAAGTGTTTTTTTAAATAATGCCTCTAATAATCTTTGATAACTGCTGGTAAATTAAAACCAAATTTTGAGCATATGAATTTGTTTAAAGTAGACCATCAGAAATGGTTTTAAGTTATCACAAGTGCATGTTCCAGAATGTCAAAGCCAATGGCTTTTAGAATTGTAACATACTGTTTACTCTCTTTAAAGTTTACACTATATACATAAGCTAACCTTTTCTTAATGACTGTCATTATTGGAGACGATTTCTACATGTTTTTGTTTCCAGCCACTGTTTAGTGCTGCTCTCAGGAACTAGAAGCCTACACATTCTCCTCCATAGACTAAATTACCCAGATATTAAAGATTTATTTTGAACTCTGACATTTACTTTTTCCACTCCTTACTTATCGAAAATTAGCCACCTTTTCTCTCACAGGGATTAAAGAATTTAGAAGTGCCTAACATACAGGGCCTTACACAGTGATTATTACATGTATTGTCAGTGCATCACCTCAAGAAGCAGACCCTATTTTACTGTCCCTTTCTAATCTGATGTCAGCTAACAAATTAAATAACCAAGGATCTACACTACCAGGGGTTGGATGAGGATGAAAAGTAACGGAAACTATCATATACTGCTGGCGGGAGGGTAAAACAATACAATTACTTTGGTGAATAATTTGGCAACATGTGGTCAAGTTAAAGGAGCCCTGGTGGTGCAGTGGTTAAAGCGCTTGGCTGCAAACAAAAAAGGTCTGTGGTTTGAGCTCACCAGCCCCTCCAGTGGGAGAGAGATGTGGCAGTCAGCTTCCATAAAGATTTACAGCCTTGGAAACCCTATGGAGTCGCTATGAGATGGATTCGACTCGACTATGGGTTTGCTTGGTTTTGGGTGGTCAAGTTTAAGATGCACATACACTATAATCCAACAATTCCACTCTTAGGTATACACTAGAAAAGCTCTCACACATGTGCTGAAGGAGGCAAGTATATTTATTGTAACATTATTTGTAATAGGGAAAAATTGAAACTAATCTAAACGACAGGAAAACAGATAAATAAATTGTGGTTAACTCATATAACAATATTCAGCAGTCAAGATGAATCAACTGTAGCCACATGTTAACACTAATAAATCTCAAAAATAATGTTAAAACTCAAAAAAGCAAGTTGCAAAATAAAATGTTCAACACAATACCATTTACATAGAAGTTAGCAACAGAAAATAAAACTACATATCGTGAATGGATACATAAATTCCTGGTCAAATAAATTTAAAACGCAAGGGTATGATAAACAGCAAAGTCAGGAAAGCATAGCAGTTTTCTTTAGAGAAGGGAGAATAATGGAATTGGAGAAACAGATAGATGAGGGTTTCTTTTGGAACTATGTTTTATTTCTTAAAATAAATCTGAAACAAATACGGCAACATCTGACAAACACTGGTGGTGGGTATGTAGATGTTATATTTTATACACTTCTATAGGACTGGAATACTTAGTTTAAAATGTTTAACTAGGAAGAAACAAATTCTAGGGAGACAAGAGTGTGGGTAATTTCAGGAAGTTTCTCAGAAAATTCAGCAGTACTGACCAGTTTATTCTCATTCTACTGCCCATGGTCAAATGAAGTAGGGGCTGTCCTCAATTAACAAAGGGGTTATATACCAAAACTGTCATTTTGTATCAGCTTTTGGACTGCAACCAATCTTTCCCATGGAAGTTTTTAAGTCTCACTTACCTTTTAGGCTCAATTTCAGATGTTACATAAATCACAAAGCCTTTTTTGACCCCTGCAGACCAGTTAGAAACTTCTTCTACACTCTCAAAACACTTTGCACATGCTTCTATTAATTTATCGCATTGCAGTATAATTACTTGTTTATATATTTGTCTTTTCCACTTGAAGGTGAATTCTTGAAGGAAAGGACATTGTCTCATTTTTTGATAACTGTATCCCCTAGTATACTGCCTGCTGACCAATAAATGTCAAATGAATGTGGAGGAAAAAGAAGATGCAACTAAACCAATAGCTGAGAGTGAACAGGATGAACAGAACTTGAGTGCGAGAAACTTGACAACTGTTTTGACTACTTTAGGTATCTCAACTGTGTTCTGGGTAAGGTTTTTAGTACTTCAGAACAAAGCTCTCTACTGCTACAAATAAATAGTAAAGGCATACCTAGGCTATGAGTTGGAATCAACTTGACAGCAACAGTTTGTTTTGGTTTTGTAGGAATTATATATATTTATTTGGATCCTGATTTTCAGTGATTTGTCAGTTTATATATGTATGTACACATGCTAATGTTATATTTTCCATCAAGTGTAACTTCAAATTAAAAACAAACTCAAAAAGAAGCCACCAAATACAACTTTTTTCCCCACAACTTCTTATTCAAATAAGGCATCTATGTACGCAATAGGACTGTGAGGAGAAAACACTAGGCAGAAAACACTGATTTGATTGTTTTGCAGTGAATATTCTGTATTGCCTCAGAATTTTAGAATAGTTTCAAACATCTTCTAATATTCAGAAATCACACTGACTAATAACTCCGAAACATCAACTTTTAAGTTAATAAAATTATATAACGAAAATGCCATTTTGTAAAGAAACACCTTATTCTCCTCAGAATACCTAAATATAGATATTATTAACAAGTAAGGGTAAGGGGAAGTAAATTTTAATGAGAAACTGCCCTATGCCCAGGCACTGTACTAGGCACTTTTCTCAATTTTCATTAAACCTCACAGAAATTCTATGCAGTAGCTCCAAATTTAAAAAAACATGCTCAGACCTAGTAAGAAACATAATTCTGACTCCAAAGTCTATGCTCTGTGACATCATACTGTCTTCCAATACTATAAGAAATGGACACAAATATGCTGGAACATGTGCCTGTGTTTCATGTTTTAAGAATAAAAAAATAACATATACTAGCATATAACTTTACCTTGTTATTATTTACATTTGATTTATGTAGGACACATAGAATTAACAAAAAGATGGCAGTAAAATTACCTGCACTGTTGCTATCATCATCCTGTTCAATGAAGACATGATCCAAAATAAAGCTAAGCAACTCAGACTGTAACGAAGAATCAGGAGTGTAAACTAATGGCTCTAACATGTCACGTCCTCCTGACATTATCTGATGACTGAAGATCATCAAAATATCACATAGAATAGTGAAGGCCTATTTTTAAAAAAAGAAAGAAAACATGCTATAAAACCAAGGTTTCTCACCACCAATTGCCCCAAGTAACTTACATGTTTAACATAAAAATAGAATCTAACTTTCTATACTTGAAACTCTTAAGAAAAATCAGTATTAAGTATTTTCCTAAGATTTTAAAGTTGAGAAGTATAATTTGTGTAACAATGACTACTAATATTTGCATAATCCTTTACTGGCTTCAAAATAATTTCATGACCATTCTACTTCTTTATTTTCAGTAACTTCAAGTGACTTGTACAATGTTAACACTGCCAAAAAGTGTAGAGCTAGGACTCAAACTCAGGTTTTCTGACTCCAAATGTCACACTCTACACTATCCCACAACACTTCCGGTTATGCATTTGCAAATATGAAATAATGTATAAACGTATATACCATTCTTTTGCTCTATGGGAGGAAAAAAACTCATATACTCAAAGAGATGAGTATTTGAAGAGAGATCCCAAAGTCTATGGTACTTTTATAAAGCACTCTCATTGTCAACATGCTGCAGTGATTAAGTATAGAAACACATAACCAGATGTGGCCTGCTTACTACTCATCAGGTAAACCTGATAGTAGCATAATAAACATAAGGCCGAAATTATTATCTGAAGGAGCTTAAGCCCAGGGGTTGATTAAAAACCTTTCCAGGAGTTTGAACTGGAGTGTAATTCAGGTAAGATCAGTCAGACAGTAAATGGAAAAACTTAACTATCTATTGGGATGGGTAATGAAAATATATATCTTAAGTGTCACCACAAACTCATTTAGAAAATTTAAAAAGGAAGGCTGCAGCTGGGAAAGACAGATTATAACACAGAGCACAAAGCAGATCTTAACAGTTTTGTCTTTTTGGAACCAACCAGATTTATCTTTTCTCTTTATGCTTTTATCCCTTCTTTTAAGTCTCTTCATTTTACCGCTATAGTCATAATTTACACCTATCAGGATAAATGAGTTTACAAAAACTTTGGCAATATACACACTGAGGGTGTAAGATGACAAGTATGGCAATGTTTAATTAGGTGAACCAGCAGGTCAAGCGGGTCGACCAGGACATATTCCTGGAAACCATCAGGAAGACTGACAAACAGGCTGTTTAACGACTAAATAATTAATCTTCAAAGTCTGAACAGCAGATTATGTAAGAGGTTACACAAGGTGATCTGTAAGGAATTATGTGTTGACACTGTAATAAATACGTAATAGTAAGCTGAAAATGTTGGTGGCACATACAAATGTATCAAATAACACTTCGTGTCCTAGGTTTACATCTGTGCATTCGTCCTCATAAAACATTAGAAGTGTAATTCTAAACTCAATTTACTACCTTCGAAAACATTGTTGATTTCACCTGAATTGAAGGGACTAAAATTCAAGTCCCACATCCATTATTGCCACAGTTCAAAACTATATACTTAAAATAGGAAATAATTCAGCAATAATACTTATAGTAATATGCTTCATACTTTTGTTAAGGAAGACACAAAATTCAGTAACTGGATCTTTGCCTTTTAATATCTTCTAATTTGTGTGTACACAAGCACATATGTATGAGAAGGAAGAAGGGAGTTAGAAATGAGGAAAAGAGACTAACCGTTTGGCACTGGAAGTAAAATTATAACTGTAAAAGGTCAAATAAATCTTGTTAAAATTAGTCTTGATATTTTAAAATGAAATAAAGATAAGTGACGAACAACAACTGGCTATATTTGAACAACTTCTTGGTGGATTTGAAAATCAAATGTACTATGAAGTAAAATAAACAGCACCCAACATACCACAAGCTACCACAAATAGCACTCAAGGTGACTACTGAGGTTGAGCCTGATAGAATGGTCAAAAAACTTTGAAATCACCATAAACATTCTGACTATAGCATGTTAATATTTCTTATAATATACTGCTTATCAAAACATCTCCATTGAAGCATTTCAGAAACATGTGCTGAATAAAGCTTACACCTCTAACTGAGGAATTAGAACTGAACAGGATCTTAGTCCCACGAACAAAGCTTCATTTAACAAATGGGAAAACTACCTATGGCACCAGGAAACAATCTATTTCCAGAATGAGAAGGTTAGCAGTAATAGAATCATGAAGGCATAGTGGATGGAATGGTAAACTTTTAAGGGTAGGTAAGTGATTAAAAATTCTCATTTCATACAAGGAAAAATAACTCATTTAATCAGGACAGGTAGGGGCAGCGGCAGTGATGTCAACATCTGATAATATTTTCAGAGATGACAAAACCTCATCATCCTTTTCTATCTGGAACATTCTTAGTGTTTTCAGGAATAATAACTTTTGCTAATTTTACACACCTCGTTTGTTTTAAATGGATCTCTTTACCTAATGTATCATGAAGAAACAACACTATAGAATACCTACAATATGCAGGGTACATATGATGCTAGTTATAAACTTCATATATTAACAAATCAATTATATTATGTGCAAGCCCAACGCATTAATCTTTTTTTTGAGCATGGTATATACATCAGTAGATACACTTCTACTTTGTTCAATCTAAGTATTACTTAAACTTTCCATACTAGTTCAGATTTATAAAGGTTGCTTATAAAAAGTATCTACAGTAATTACTAACCTGCTCCTTAACAGTAGTATTCACATTGGTCAGGTAATGCTGACATATCTGACAAAATACTCTCATTTGTTTCTTTAAACGCAGCAAGTCCTCCTTTAAAAAATTAAACATGAAAGATTTAAAATATGGTATTAAAAAAATCATTCAGTATTTCTTTACAATGTTCCAAATTACATAAAACCTTGTCATATACTTGACTATATTAACTGAAGTCTGCTCGTTCACTACATTTAAATTTCTTAATGATTTACAATCTTAAAAAAACATGGAAGATATTAGACCTTTTTTTTTTTTAAAACAAATCTCACCAAACTGCAGTCTTAAAAATATCAGGTATTTTAATGGGTAATATCCTAAGTATACTGGATCCTTTAGAATGAGAAAACTTCTATGATTATAAATGAGTATCTTTAATAATGCTGCTACCCCAGAATGCTTAAAGATTTGTTTTATACTGACTTTATAATCTGAAGGGTAGACAATTCATCATGAATGGAAGAAAATGGCAAGTAAAAAAGGGATAACATTTTGATTTCTTGTTTGTAGGATATTGGTTATACTATTAAAAAACTCAACAATGGAAAAAACCAGTTTTGGGGTATTATTTATTCCAATTTAAAAACCAGTAAAATGTCTCTTAAACTTACTAAAAAGATTAATGTTATTCTTGTATTTTTCTATTTCTACATATTTACCAGTTAATTTAAAAAAGAAATTAACATACCCATCTACTTAACTGATCTATAAAGACCAACCACATTAATTTATCTGAGGCACAACCTATGGCTAATCTTCTAATACTGCATGTCAAATGACAGAATATCAGTACATATTTGGTATATAATAAGCAAGTTATAAATATAATAACAGGTTTAACATGGAGATCCTATTTGGTGAAGAAATCTCAATCAAGTTTCACCATGAAATTTTTTTTATTCTCTAACATTCACTTTTCACCCTTTTCTCATTACCAAAAAATATAATCTTTCTTCTCATTTTAATTTTTAACTCAATGTCTCTAAAACTTAGGTGAGCAATCATATACACTAATATGGTCATGGTTACTACTACAAGTTTGATATTTAGTACAATAAACTTCTACTTGGGTATTAGAGAAAAAAATCCCAACATTTCAACAATGATACACTTATTTTTCAAGGGAAAAAAATTCATTTGTGGATATAAGAGCATCTTTACAATACATAGAGACATTCTAAGCATTTAAAATATTTCAGAGGATCTATGCAAAACAAACATTATTTTAAGGACTCTTTTCTGAGGAAAATACTGATGAGCAACGAATTCCGTAACTCCTAGAAATTCCTTAATATTTATAAAACTGCACCCAAAGAACACCTTAAGGCAGCATCTCTTACTACAACGTAACGAACTTTAAGCTTCCAACTTACAAATGGAAAAGGCAGTACTGTTTAGTTTAATTACTAAAAACATCAAGGATTACCATTACGGATCAAGTTTTAAAAGTTCTATGATCTAGTACCTGACACATTATACTTAATCAGGAGATAATTTATCATGAATTTGGAACATCAGTTAAGAAGTCTACAATATGAACAAGGTAATCCCAAACAATAACAGGGCATAAGAAGATCTGGGGCAACAGGCTTGTTTTCTTCATTTCATGTAATCCAATAGGTGGATGTTTGTTTTAAAGACTCTCAGTCATGATTTACAAAAGCTATCCTTCCATCTGTACTCAATACTTTTGCCAATAATATGAAAAGCCATATATTATGCAACCTTCAAACATGAACAGCAGCTTTTAATTTAAAACCATACTACTTAACACAAACCATATTAATTTTCTTTCACTGAATACACATTAAACTATAAACAGGACTATTTTTAAAGATACATGTTCATAAAGAGTAGATTAGAAATACGCAAAAATTCATTTAAATAATCAGTCTTATTAAATGTCTACATTTGCTGAAAACAGTTAATGACATCTAATTTAATAAAAACACCAGTGAACCAGCACAAACCTTTGTGGAGCTGCTTTCAGTTATCTTTGCCAACTGCCAAAGTATTACATAGTGGGTACACTGCAGTGCATGAATAACAATCTGTTAGAAAACAAGAACAAGAAAATACAGTTAAAATTAAAAACTCACAAACTTTCTTTATCAAAATTACATATACAAATTGTAAATAAATAAACACCTGCTCAGGCATGTCTCCATTTTCAATTCCGGTTTTCAATAGTTTGTAATTACAAGCAAACAAATCCCATTTTGAAAGATCGTGGGCACTGTAAAAAAGAATTAGGTTATATTAAAAAGTAAAACTTCATCCAAATTATTTTGGACTTTACTGTTAACAAAATGCTATTCGAGTAAATATATATAGTAACTTTTTAACATGTCCCTCGACAACAAAAACAAAAAAATGTATTTTTGTTTAAATAAAAAAAGTATGTTAAATGGTAATTTCTCAGTCATCCCCCAATTCAAAACATTATACCAAGTACTTTTTTCTTAATATTAGAAGAAATGTGGAACACAAATCTATAAATCACAAGATTTCTCATAACATATCCCACAGAATACCCAAGCTGATTTTGATTTTGCCACAGATTTAGAAATTGGAAACTTTAAGATTAAACTTACTTATGAAAAGCAGTGATCCTCTTCAATGTTGATAATACCTGATATGCATCATCTTCATCAGGTTCTTCACCCTATTAAAATATTAATTACATAATATTAAACATTATAACCCCCAAAATGAAAAATTTCAGGCTATCAAAATGGTGATGTCACCTTGAAAAGTAAATAATAACCTAATATTTAAACCACAAATTAACCTTGTCATCCAATGCCATGATCTGGCCAAATTTAAGGCCCAAGAGCTGGGTTATCACACTTACATTATACCCAAACAAGAAAAACAGAAGGACAAACCTACGTACACTGAATACACTGCTACTGAGAAAGAGACATCACAATCGAACACCAACTGCTGTCAAGTGGTTTCCAACTCAGACCAATCACAAGTAAATGGGGGGTGAGGGGGGAGCCTCTGAATAAAGACAAGATGTACTTACCCTTCCTGGGTATCAGTATTTGTCAATATACTTTCCAACTGAGAGTAACCTAAGTTTTTCAAAATTTTACACTACTGAATTTAGTATACTGAACTCCAGGTCTCTCAAAAAACACTTGTTTTGAAAATCTAATTTTTCCACCAAGTAACTAAATTTAATTAACCAATTATTTTGCTTGATTTTAAATAAACTTGTCCTAGTCACACTATCATATTCAACCGAAACTAAAGACATTAAAAATTTTAACTAAGAATATTATAATTATACATCGATATATTTTCACAAACTAGTTACTCAGAAAATGATTGAGAATTATGCACGATTTGTTAAAATTAAAAAATATATTTCCAGAACATACAACTACCGCAATTAAAAAAAAAAAAAAACTAGTATGATTTAACGTCATGCAGTGAATGAGTCTCCTTGAATAGAACAATACATGGAACACCAAAAGCAACAATGACTATAATAGCAATTTATCAAGGCTTTATAACATCAAAGACCATAACGGCATTTTCCTCACCAACACTGCCAAAACATTAAGAAAAGCCCTACTTTTTGAGGCTACATGGCCACAGTCTAACTCTGCTTTTCTGTTCCATTAACACCGTTTCCTTAATAGCCCCTTATTCAAGTGACACCAGGAAACTTCTCAGATCACTTCTTTTAATAATTTTTTTATTTTTCCAAAAACAGGAAATATGTTATTTTTGCTTTCACCTTCTCAAAGTCACACAATCTTACCACTTTTCTATTCTGGTGGTGGAGTAATAGTAGCATGATGAGTCACACAAGGAAAAGCCTGAAAATCTTTTCAACATACTGCTAGGGACTATCATCAGGAGGGAGGGGCCCAACTAAAAAAAAAATACTTTTAATGTGTACCTCTTGTAGAAAATCTTCAAGAAGTCTGTTAAATTTATCTGCCAATTCATCTATTAGTTGACTTCTTGAAATATCTACTCTGTTGAAGATTGTAAACTCTTCATTACACAGTGCATGATAAGTTTTAGAACATGCTTCCAAAACATCTGTATCTGTGTGCTTCTCTACTATATTCCGAATCTGTCGCAGTAAGGCATCCAAATGCTGAAAAAATCAAAATTTATCATTATAAGTAAGGTAAATACAATAGGCAAACAGTAACTACAATACCTACAGTGAAATGCTTCAGATATAACTTTAATACCAGTTGAGGTTGTCAGGTTCCCCTTGAGGAAGTTCCAACTCATAGCGACGCTATGTACAACACAGTGAAATGCTGACCAGTCCTGCAACATCTTCACAATCATGGCTATGTTTGAACCCATTATTGCAGCCACTGTGTCAATTCACCGCATTGAGGCTCTTCATCTTTTTCAGTGATGGTCTACTTTGCAAAGCATGATATTCTTCTCTAGGGACTGGTCCCTCTTGATAACATGTCCTAAGCACGTGAGGTGAAGGCTCACCATTCTCAATTCAAAGAAGCATTCTCACTATACTTCTTCGAGGGTAGATTTGTGTCTTCTTCGGGCAGTCCATGGTATATTCAATATTCATCACCATAATTCGAATGCATCAATTCTTCTTCCATCTTCCTTAATCACTGTCCAGCTTTCACATGCATATGAGATAATTGAAAGTATCAAGGCTTGGGTCAGGCGTACCTTAGTCCTCAAAGTGACATCTTTGCTTTTTAATACTTTAAAGAGGTCTTCTGCAGCAGATATGCCCAATGCAATGTATCGTTCGACTTCTTGACTGCTGCTTCCATGGGCATTGATTGTGGATCCAAATAAAATGAAATCCTTGAAAACATCAATTTTTTTTCGTGTATCACGATATCGTTTATTGGTCCAGTTGTGAGGATTTTTGTTTTCTTTATGTTGGTGTATAATCCATACTAAAGGCTATAGTTTTTGATCTTCATCAGTAAGTGCTTCAAGTCCTCTTCGGTTTCAGCAAGCAAAGTTGTGTCATCTGCATAACGCAGGTTGTAAATAAGTCTTCCTCCAATCCTGATGCAACGGTCTTCATATAGTCCACCTTCGGGATGACTTGCTCAGCATATACACTGAATAAGTATGGTGAAAAGACAAAACCCTAACTCAAATCCTTCCTAATTTTAAACCATGCAGTATCCCCTTGTTCTGTTCAAACAACTTCCTCTTGGTCTATGTACAGGTTCGGTATGACCACAGATAAGTGTTCTGGAATTCTCATACGATGCAATGATATCCATAATTTGTTATGATCCAGATAGTCAAATGCCTTTTCATAGTCAATAAAACACACGTAAACATCTTTCTGCTAGTCTCTGCTTTCAGCCAGGATCCATCTGACATAAGCAATATGATACCACATCCTCTTTTGAATCCAGCTTGAATTTCTGGCAGTTCTCTGTCCATGAACTGCTGCAATCATTTCTGGAATATCTTCAGCATAATTTTACCTGCGTGTAATATCACTAATATTGTTCGATAATTTCTACATTTTATTGGATCACTTTTCTTTGGAACAGGCACAAATATGGATCTCTTCCAGTCAGTTGGCCAGGTAGCTGTCTTCCAAGTATCATGGCATAGATACCCTGGCGTTTCCAGCATTGCACACATTCGCTGAAACATCTCAATTGGTATTCAGTCAATTCCTGGATCCTTTTCACCAATGTCTTCAATGCAGCTTGGACTTCTTCCTTCAGTACCATTGGTTCACGATCACATGCTACCTCCTGAAATGGTTGAACGTCGACCAGTTCTTTTTGGTACAGTGAATCTGTGTATTCCTTCCATTTTCTTTTGATACTTCCTGCATCATTCAATTTTTTGCCCATAAAATCCTTCAATATCCCAACTTGAGGCTGTAAGTTTTTCTTCTTTTCCTTCAGCTTGAGAAATGCTGAGCATATTCTTCCCTTTTGGTTTTCTTACTCCAGGTCTTTGCACATTTCATTATAATACTTTACTTTGTTTTCTCGAACCACCCTCTGAAGTCTTCAGTTCAGCTCTTTTATCATTTCTTCCTTTTGCTTTAGCTATTCGACATTCAAGAGCAAGTTTCAGAGTCTCTTCTGATATCCGTTTTGGTCTTTTCTTTCTTTCCTGCCTTTTTAATGACCTTTTGCTTTCTTCATTTATGATGTCCTTGATGTCATCCCACAACTCGTCTGGTCTTCGGTCATTCGTGTTCAATGTGTCAAATCTGTTCTTGAGATGGTCTCTAAATTCAGGTGGGATATACTCAAGGCTGTACTCTGGTTCTCGTGGACTTGTTCTAACTTTTTTCAGTTTCAACTTGAACTTCCATATGATCAATTGCCTGTTCCACAGTCGATCCCTGGCCTTGTTCTGACTGATGATATTGAGCACTTCATCATCTTTTCCACAGATGTCAATTTGATTTATTCTTTATTCCATCCAGTGAGGTCCAGGTGCGATAGTTGTAATTTATGTTGTTTTTTGAAAAGGCTATTTTCAATATAGAAGACACTGGTCTTGCAAAATTCTGTCATTCAATCTCCCATGTCATGTCTATCACCAAGGGCATATTTTTCAACTACTGATCTATCTTTGTTTCCAACATTCAATTCCAATCATCAGTAATTATCAATGCATCCTGACTCCATGTTTCATCAATTTCAGACCGCAGAAGTTTGTAAAAATCTTCAGTATCTTCATCTTTGGCATTAGTAGTTAGTGTGTAAATTTGAGTAATAGTCGTATTAACTGGTCTTCCTTGTAGGTGTATGGATATTACCATAACACTGATTGTGTTATATTTCTGGATAGATCTTGAAATGTTCTTTCTCACAATGAATATAACCCCGTTCCTCTTTAATTTCTCATTCCTGGCAGAGTAGAGCATATGACTGTCTGATTCCCAATGGCCAATATGAGTCCATTTCAGCTCACCAATACCTAGGATATTGATCTTCAAGCATTTCATTTTTGGTAACTTTAAATTTTCCCATCCTTCATACTTCTTACATTCCATGTTCCAATTACGGATGTTTGCAGCTGTTTTCTCTCATTTTGAGTCGTGTCACATCACCAAATGAACGTCCCGAAAGCTTTACTCTACCCACGTCATTAAGGTCAACTCTGCTTTGAGGAGGCAGCTCTTCCCCAATCTTATTTTGAGTGCCTTCCAACCTGAGGGGTTCATCTTTCAGCATTACATCAGACAATGTTCCACCGCTATCCATAAGGTTTTCACTGGCCAATTTTTTCAGAAGTCCATCACCGGGTCCTTCTTCCCAGTCTGTCTTAGTCTGGTAGCTCCACTGAAACTTCTCCACCATGGGTGACCCTGCTGTATTTGAAATACCTCTGGCATAGTTTCCAGCATCACAGCAACACACAAGCCACTACAGTACGACAAACTGACAGATAAGTGGTGGCTACAACCAGTAGGACGTACATTTTAAGGTGTTTCTCTAGTCAGAGTAAATAAATACACTGATCTACCCATACGTATTTCCTCAGCTTTAACAGGAATAATATTAACTATTTCATAGGGCTGTGGTGAAAATATAAAGTGTTAATATATGTAAAGAACTTATAATAACTCCTAGGGATAGTGCTCAATGAATATTAGCTCGGTTTTTTTAACTGTTATTATCCAGTGACCAACCCTCAAGTTCTATAAATTATCATGGGTATATAATCACTTATGGCTAGGAAGAAGGGTACAGCTATGGGCATGAAGCAACAGGACGAAGCCTCATTAGCACTATACTCTAAATTCAACTGATCTAATATATTAAAAAAAACATAAGAAATAGGTGTCCTTTCACATTAAGAAGTTACAAAATTGTATTTCAAACAGTATGATGAGATGAACCAAGCGAACAATTTGTCTTCAGGATTTTTTAATACATAGAAAACATCTTACCTTTTCTAATCGTCCAGTGGTATATATTTCCAAATCAAAGTACTGAGGCAACTGTAACAAGTTAGTCACCTTTTCTGCATCTACCGAGTACTTTGGAAAACAAAAACCAAAAAGAGCATGTCAAAAACATTACAATGATGGTATATAAACATTATGATAAAATTTTGTGTGGAATAGCAAATAAAACCTGAAGTTTTTTAACAACACTATGATATTGAAACAAACTTACTTTTGCCAGTAACTGAGGAAGGGCCACAGCAAAAAGTTCAGTGATTTTTGTCCTGTCATCTAACTGGGTCTTCTTCTCCTTCGCTGTCAGCACCTAAAGTAACACAAGGATATTTTTAAATGTGTATTAAGCCCATTAATATTGTTAAGTGCTCAAGGTAGAGTTACAACATATAAAATAAGAAATAAACTATTTTTCGAAAGATACAAAAATTTCTACTATAGAATTTTAACCCCAAAACAGACACCAAAGAGAATAATGTGCATATTATGAAAATATGGTAAATAAATAAATAAATAAATAAACAAACAAAATAAACTTTCAATAGCCCTAGAGGACCAATCAATACTGAATCAGACTGACCAACTCTAGGTATGGATAGAAGAAGCAGCAGTTAGGAGCAGGAAACATAGTTTAGAATCTTATATAATAATGGAATTGAGCAGCATTTCAGCCTACTCTAGGCTGTGGGCCACAACCTATGGGTTATGAATTCAATATAATAAGTTGCTACTAACAATTGGAAAAATGAGGCAAAAAAAAAAATCGAAGGCATTACACACCGTAAGTTTCAGTACTGTTTGTTACACGCATATACATATATAGGATTGTGATAAGTCACAATACGAAAATGTATTTCTTACTGTGTGTCATGGTAAAGTTTGAAAGCTTATGAAATTGTTGGTATAAAATGTGAAATATATATGAGCTTTAGAATAATACAGTAAAATCTGATTCCAGAAAATATGAATTTCCCCGTTTTAATGAATAATTATATCTAGTTTTATTTCTCATTTTATATTAAAAGAAAGCAAATCTATAAAGAGAGCAAAATAGCCAAGTGCACTATTCTAAAAGGGTGCACTATATTTAGTCTTCAAGGCAGAGACTGTCAATCACTGTTATTTCCTGCATTACCTAGCAAAGTATATTACTGAATAAATTAAAAAATGTCTCAAACTGGGCAGAGTAGAAACCTACTGCTTTAAAGTTTAGTTCTAAAATATTTATAAGCAAAGGTCATCTGAAAAATGAAATGTATGATTAAAAAAAAAAGATTTTTTTACAAGAAGAAATACATTTTACAATACTGAAAATACATTGGCATACCCTTTTTCCTGTCCCCCTTCCCACGGGAGGATGACATTCAGCTGCTTGTCTAATGGTACAAAGCATTATTTCAATGAGAGCACTCTCTTGTCTGTCTGTTAATGCTGGATGGGGGGGAAACACAAAGAGTTAACCCATTTTGTCTCCCTCTATGCCACTTGTAATTATTACATAACTGTTTCTTCTGCCTGTGAATAGAATCTGGCCTAATGTACTAAAGACAATCCCATTATTGTATCACAGAAAGGTTAAACCTTCCTAAACCCCTCAGCATTCCAAATCTTTTCATCACTGTTGCACACATTAGAGCAAAGAAAGCATACTCAGATACAAAAAAATTAAAGAAAGCTGAGGGCAATTATATCTTTGCACATTTTCATGTTTGTGAAAACAAAATTTATATACAGACCAACATTTTATACCATTTTTTTAACACTAAAAGGACAGACAAATGGAATGAGTAAAATCTATGTCCAAAACTGTCTAGACAACAAAAATGCCGTAATTAAATGTCTTTACCTTCCTCTCCACTAAGTGGCTCCTCCAGCAGCAAGCTATTCATACATTCCCAGTCTTTCAGCAGCTCAGTAGCACAGTCCCACATGCTATCCACAAGGTATGCTGCATGCTCATGTAACTAAAATTAAAAAAGAGCAATGTGCTCTTAGACAAATAGCATACCAGCCTTAACTCAAAAGAATGGAAGCTCTGTTGGTACCATGTACAAACTTTCAAGTGGAAGAGAAAGGACTAAGAAATACAGAGGAGAAACTACCATATACATATGTAAATCTTGCGAGGTAGTATCATAAAACATTTCTCACAACAATCATTAAAACATTAACATGAAAATTATTTTTTTGAAAAGATCATATAAATATTTACTGTGTAAATTTTACCTAGTGTCAGTTAACTACTCAATTCTAAAACATACTATAAATTTATTTTAACAGAATGGAAGTGATAATGATTGAGTAAAATATTAAATGCATATTCACTTGTCAATTCAACATAAAGCAAGTAATTTCTCTTCATTCTAGGGATTTTAGGGGGGCAGTATAACCATGATGATACCAAAGTTTGTCAAAATATTCCAATAAGGAAAACTATACACCAGTACTCTTCAGGCACACAGAGGGAGAATCATCAAAAAAAACTGACAAATAGAATCTAGCAATATATAAAAAGGATAATAGATCATGACCAAGTAGGGTTTATCCTGCAAGGCTGTTCTACGTTTGAAAAACAAAATCAATCAACATAAATCAACTTATTAATATGATGAAGTATAAAATCAAACAATCATCTCAAGAGATGCCGAAAAACCACTGGACAAAATTAAATATCTATTCATGATAAAAACCTTTCAGCAACAGAAGTGAACGTCCTCAATGTGATAATAAATATCTATATAACATCTATAGCTAACAGCATACTTAATGTTAAAATATTGGATGCTTTTCCCTACAATCTAGTCAACACTCTGCCAGAAGTCCTAGCAATTCAATAAGGCAAGAAAAAATCTAAAGGGCATAAATGATGGAAAGGAAGGAATAAGATTATCTTTATTTCCAAATGACATGCTTGTGTATTATAGAAAATCCTAAATAATCTTTTTACAAATTACAAAAATAAGTGAATTTAGCAAAGCTGCAGGATACAAAGTCAATATGGCAAAAAAAATGTATTTTTATATACATTTTTTGCTATATTGCTATTTTTTTTTGCTATATATACTAGCAACAACCAATCAAAAAATTAACTTTAAAGGCTCTAACACTGATTAAATGATACATAGTATGAATACAAAAAATGTAGATTTTCAACTTAAGGGATATGTAAAAGAGCTGATGTTAAATCTAAAATCATATCTACAACAATAGTAACAATAGCAGGTACCAACTATTAAGGTCTTACAACTTACAATTTGAACATCCCACTAAAAGCACAAAGCACTTGAAAGTTTTTTTTTTTTGTGGAATAGGTAGATCTCCATTCTATTCCACATTTACTGCATTACGGAGAGATTTTAAGATGTACATCATTTTGACCCCTTCTGTAAAATTTTTCGAGCATTAGTATAAAACAAACAACACAACTAACCTCACTTTCCAAAAAGAAGAAAACCAACGTCTTAACAAGGTTTGCATTTGGGCCCTGTCTTCCTCTTCTTTTCATCACTCCATCCTCTTCTGGATCTCTGCGGCTGAAGAGCCTATTATCAAAGCAAAACATGTACTTTTGTAAAAACAAAAAAAGTTATTCCCCAGTTAAAAACACTTAACTGCCTGAATACTCTATTTAAGCATCTAACAAAGGAGTTAACAGAAGCTGCACGCATAGGTACATGTAACACTGTCGAATATTATACAATCAAACATGTAATTGCCATAAATATTTTTCATTTCATACTTGATAGTACTTCTCAGTCTCCTTAGCTAAATTCAAGTTAACTGTACTAAGTTTTAAATTATTTCTTTTTACAAACTTTATTGCATTTTTGTGACTGCTTCCTCTCATAAAAGTGACTAACCTACAGCATTTATACACATAAACCTATAGTACATATTTTGTTCTTTAAACCTGAACATATCTTTTCCTTCTCATATAGTAATCCCCAAAGTCTAAACTTGCATTGGCTTCTTTCTGTGGATAGCATGGCTCTTTTTCCTCAAAAACAAGTGATTTAGTAATACTATAACAATGATCAGAAAACTGTAGTATGAATGTTTTACATCACCTACTCGTTTTAATAACTGCATCTCTCCAAATGAACATTTTAATAACATCTTACAGAAATACAGTTTAGTCCATGTGGTTTCAAACTGTCTTTTTAAAAACCCATTACATAACATTTGCTGAATGTTTTCTGTGATCATATATTAACATTGCTATACATAATGCTTAATCTGAGATGTTAAATAACATCATAAAAACACAGTATAGGATTCTTGGGCTCCTTACGTCAAACTGTATTAAGTACTTGGGAAAATCTTAATATTTTCTAAAAGCAATGCAAAAACAGACTTCAGACTAAATATCTGTAGTATATGCAGTATTTTGAAGTTAGAGGAGGAGAAAAGAGGAGGGAAAAATTAGGAAGAGAACAGTCTTAATGTTATGATTTAGTTAAATATCCTTTTAAGAACATCCATTACAACACAGAGGTACAGTTACGTTTAAAGATTTAACTTAAGTAAATAAAAATACTGGAGAGGGAAAACCTAAACTTATAAAGGAAATACAAAACGTGAAAACGTCTCTTTGACCTGTACTGCATAACTTTTAAAAAATAAGTTTCACATATATATATCAAATATATCATCAAATGTAAAAATAAATTACTGTTATAACAGCATACTTCAGAAGATGAATAAGAGAAATACAGATTTACTTTTTGTAGAGAAATTCTCCAGCTGCTACTGCTACTGGCCGGTGAGCTGAATAAACCAGATGATAGACATTTTCACAATCTTCTGCAGTAAGAACTTCTTCACTACTCCTAAAAATGAAAAGCAGTACCCATTTTTTTAATAATCTCACAATTCTACATACATTAGAAAATAGTAAACTTTTATAATGTGTTAAAAGAATTTTTTTAAACAGAAATCAACCTTCTTTAATTATTATGTCATTAATAGCTTGGCAACAAAAGAACTGAGTATTTTACTAATTCAAGATAAATGGGGGGGGGGGGGTAAAATTAGAGTCAATACTGACCATAAACAAATATATGATGAAGACAAGCAATAATGTGACATGGATGCTAAACGGAAATTAACTCAAAATAAAGGACGCTAATGTAGAAAGTGAAACGACAGTATGTCAAGAGCTTAGTGTTAATAATCACAGAGAACGCTTTACACATTTCATAGTAATATTAAAGACAGGGACAGTATCACTGCTTTACAATATACTAATGCCCCCAATTATCTCAACACTGATGAAGAGTACTTCCTCTGCCATTCACTGAACACCATAAAAGGCAATGCAGGCAGATTTTCCAAATAATTAAGATTTAAGTGTCAAAAGAACTAATTGCAATCTGTCACTGGAAAATCTTACTAAAGCATAGTACTCATTCTCCTATCTTATTTTAAAAGAACACAGTAAACCTAACCAAATTTTCTTAGTGTATTGCAGTGATTATTAGGCCCATCAACCACAGCACCCCAGGGTAAATCTTGTTCAGTTCTTCCTGAAATGGCTGCATTCAGGTCCCTGGCCTCTGGCAGCCCTTTCTCTCCTTGTATGTTTTTAATCTACTCTGAGATAAACAAACTAGGATTTTAGTATTTTATGTATATTAACAGGACCACCCTCGAAGAGAAAATTCTAAGAACATTAAATGTTTAGTTGAGCAGCTCAGACCTTTTTACTTTTTGGTTTTCCAATCTGCTGAAGGCTCTGTTCAAAAGTCTGATGTCCAAGGAAATACTACAATATTTATTTTTGGAGAGAGAAACTAAACTAAAATGTAGATACAATTGAGGTTTAAAGTATTTTTATTCAAATTACTCTATATATAATACTGGATCATTTTTAGTAAAAACCACTTACGTTTTTCTATAAGAAAAACTATGTTGAATAAAATCAGTTAAAGTATTATAAATCTGAAATAGCTCACTCATTTTAACTTATTGAAAAGCAATGTTCCTGACAAGTTTCATTTATTAGGTATATGCTTTGCTGAGTCCACATGAAGTAGCTATATATATTACCCTTCATAAAAATATTTAGAAGTAAGGAAAGATTTCCACAGTTTTTTATGGAAGAGGGAGGGAAATGTTTTAAAAATATAGAAGCATTACTTTCTTATTTCAGGTTTTTTTTTTTTTCAATATTTCTATAATATGTGTATATAATATTTATAATTTTAATCCAATTAAAAATCAAGAAGAAAAATACAGTAATGGTTAATAGACTACTCAAAATGTCCCCAGTTAAGTGAATTACCAGAAAATGTTCCATATCCTAGGAAGCATTTTCCATGATCAGTACACATCTAGAGCTACCTCTTCGTAATGTCTGCAATGTCGTCCATTCATGTAAATGGAGATAACAACCATCGCCATCTCACAAGGTTGTTCCAAGTATTAAATGAGATAATCCATACATGGTGCTATTATCTTATAATTTAATTCTTCCACTACTGTTAACATCTAGGTTGTCTCCAAAATTCTGTTAGAGACTGTGAGCATTTCAAATTTTGATAGATATTGCCAAATTTTCCTCTGAAAAGGTTATACTTATTTGTACTCTCATTAGCAATGGGAGTACAGTCTCAACAACATAGGGTATTATGAAACACTTTTTTTTTTAATCTTTGCCAAGTAAGTAAAGGAAAAAAAAGTCTCATTTTAATATACATGCCTCTAATGTAAATGTAGTTGAGCACATTTTTCATGTTTAAATTTGCATTTCCACTTCTGTCAACAGTCTGGTTCATAGTTTTTGACTATTATCCCACTGGGTTTCTGGTTTTATTTTTTTGTTTTTGTTTTCTTTTTTTTTTACTGATTTACAGAAATTAATCCCCTTAATGCAAATATTTTGGCCAATTTTTCAATTTGTTTTCTGAGTGTATTTATGGAATTTTATTCCATATAGATATTTTTAGTTTTTTATGTAATTAAGATTTTGATCTTTTCTAGGTTTTATGTCATGCTCAGAAAGAACCTACTCGGTCATATTACCCAAGTTTTCATCTCTGTAGTACTTCTACAGTTTCTTTTTTCACATTTAAATATTTCCTCTGTCTGGAAATTACTTTGTTGTGAGAAATGAAATAGGGATCCAGTTTTATTGTTTCCCCCAAATAGAATTTAGTTGTCACAAAACCACTTATTGACTCTATTTCCTGATAAAAGGAAATGTCACTCTCATCCTATATTAGATTCCTATATGCACTTGGGTTTCTCTTATTCTTTATTCTGCTCCACTGATCTCTTTGTCTACTCATGACCAGTAGTAAAATGTCAAAATTGCTATGGTTTCACAATACGATTTAAAATCATATTGGGCTAGTACTCATTTATTACTTTTTGTCAGAATTCTGCCAGCTTCTCTTACACAGTGTATTTTCCACATGACCATTAGAATTAGCATACTTTGTTACAAAAAAGATCATTTTGGTATTATTTGGTTTGTGTTAAATATACAGATTTCAGGAGATTGTAAGTCTTTAAATAATGAGTTTTCCTAAGTAAGCTTTCCAAAGTAAAAAGTGCATCTACCCAATAATTCAAGCCTTCTTTTATGTCCTTTAGTTATATCTCATTAAAGTTTTTTTCATATACAACAGGTTTCTTGTAAAGTTTTTTCCTAAGTATTTAACAGTACTACATACTACACAGTACTTGGTGCAGAGATGGTACCAGATAAATATTTTTTGAATATATATATATAAAAAAAAACGCAATCACTATTCACACACACACCCATACACACCCATACACACACACCACCCACCCACAAATCCCTTGCCATTGAGTTGATTCCGACTCACAGCAACCCTATTGTCATGGATTGAACTGTGTCCCCCAAAAATATCCGTCAACTTGGCTGGGTCATGATTCCCAGTCTTGTATAATTTGTGTACCATTTTATCATCTGATGTGATTTCCTTATGTGTTGTAAACTCTATCACTATGATGTAATACAGTGGATTTAGTGGCAGTTATACTGATGAGGTATACAAGACTGGATAGTGTCTTAAGCCAAACTCTTTTGAGATATAAAAGAGAGAAGCAAGCAGAGACACATGGGAACCTCACACCATCAAGAAAGCAGTGCTGGGAACAGGGCGCATCCTTTGGACCTGAGGTTCCTGCGCTGAGATGCTCCCAGAACAAGGGAAGACTGATGCATCACAAGGACCTTCCTCCAGAGCCGACAAAGAGAGAAAGCCTTCTCCTGGAGCTGATGCCCTGAACTTGGACTTGTAGCCTACTAGACTGTGAGAGAATCAACTTCTCTTTGTTAAAGCCATGCACTTGTGGTATTTCTGTTAGAGCAGCACTAGATGACGAAGATACCTATCAACACAGCAATACATATTTTAAACTCAGATTTTTTTAGAGGTTCTACGAGAAGTATGACAGAAAAATTTCAGTAAATGCTCATTCTGTGTAAGTGTGACAAAATATAACAAACACATTATATAATACACTCAAGTTTTTCACTCTGTCTCAAGAGTATCTAAAAGACACTATAATGGAAAGGAAACCAACCAAGAGAATGGGACCACATAAATTTCTAGCTCAGTTAAAATTTCACTAAACCGTTTCCTTTATCTGTGTTTTCCCAACAGTACACGAATAAATTAAACTTCTGGTGTATATTCCATGATTTCACCTATTAAAATTTAGACTTAAATAAATTTTAACCTGGTACTCTAATGCATCACTTAGATGTTTACACATTAATAATATGCAACACATACTTACTGTAAAACAAGAGTGAGTAACTTTATTGCTTGTACTGCAACATCATATTCTTTGTCAAGAGTCATAGACACAATTCTATCCTAAGGACAAAGAAAAATATTTTTAAAACGTACACAAGAGAAAAATATATTCAAATCTTCAGATACTTAATTAAGACTAACCTTGAACCGACTGGTAAAAAGCTCCAGTTTGGAATTAAGCTCTTTGTTATAATAAAGCCCTTGCAGAGCAGTAAGACATTTCAGTCTTACCTCACCTTGCTAAAAAAAAAAAAGGGGGGGGGAGAAGGAAAATACATTAAAACTGTGTATTTTCAACCTGAATATTCAAGATGTATACAATATTTTCTACTTTAAAATCTTCACTATGTTCTACACGATAGTGTTTCTTCAGGAACCATCAACTTCATGCAACAATGGGAATCAGTACATACAGTTTAGGACTAAAATACCTTTGTGGTTGCTACTTCTACAGGTAAAAACTGTAATCTTTCGAAAACTTGTTCAGAACAAAACTACTGTGCAAGGCGATAACAATATGCTTCATAGTAAGCTTTCCTTTACAGAAAGTAATATTTGGAAGGAATATATACAAGGAACTTCAAGCTTAATGAAGAAAGTCAGGCTAAGAGGAAAATAGTGTAAGAAGAAAAAAAAAGTCAGAGGCGTTTATAACATAATCTGGCCAAGACAGTTATGGCTATCAAAAGGAAGAATCAAAATTGAAGATAATATTTTTTAAGTATATCACTCAGTAGATAATACAGCAAGGGTTCTTCTTACTCTAATAAATGCCTCCTCACCACCAAATAAATGATCCAAATTAATGTTAAGATCAGTGGCCTGGATTCCAAAAGTACAGAGGACTTCATGTGATACAGACCAACTCTGCATAGAGCACATGGAAGAGAATCAAGGAAAGAGGCTTATGGAAATATGGCCCCAGGTATATCTACATGTAGATAGTTCATTAAGAAGAAGAGCTGCATACAGCTATCCCTACGTGTAGACAGACAAGTTTGTAGGGTACATCTTACCTTATCATGCATAGTCCAACCCACATATTTTAAATAACTGTCATTAAGAAAGGCATCACTATACATTTTCATCCAAATACCAATCTCTTCAATACAAATAGCTCGGATTTCTGCTATTGCATCACTGAATGGAAAAAAGAAAAATTACACATATCAGTAATATTATACCACAGGACTTAACAATTTATTCAAAAGATATCAAATATTTCATATCTATTGTGAATATACCACTACCTTATGTATTACTGTTGTTGTTGTTGCTGTGTGCCGTCGAGTCGATTCCGACTCACAGCAACCCTACAGGACCGAGTAGAACTGCCCCATAGCGTTTCCAAGAAGCGACTGGTGGATTCAAACTACCGACCTTTTGGTTAGCAGCCTGAGCTCTTAACCACTTCACCACCAGCGCTGGGGATTAAAAATTAGTAACTGAAGCACAGCCCTGAATTTCCAAAATCTTACAGTCTCAATTTCATAAGGCGTAATTATCACATTAAGTATTTAAAATTAAATAAAACTACAAAAAAAAACCCATTGCCACCTTTTAAAGCATGCCATACCCCAGCCTTTGCTCACACCTGTGGAACATGGTATGTTCAGAAGACACCAGGCACACTACTCTGACTAAAGCAAAATTTTCAAGGTTAGAATTAGTTACATATAATATTGAGGCCAAGCTCAGCTGGGATTTGAATGGCAGACTAAATTATTTTAAATTCATCCTGTAGGTACTGGTGAGTTATTGAAGGTTTTTGAGCAGAGGAATAACACAAAGTACGTTTTAGGAAAACTACAATGATCTCTAGGCATAAAATAATAAAAAAAACGGACTAAGGAATTGGTGACAACAGAAGTGAAAAGGCAAGAATGGACACGGGAGATGTTATAAAGGAAGTATTACTGATTAGATTTAACGGCCAAGTGGAGAAAATGAGAAGCTGTATAAAAATGCTACAAACACTTAAGAGAATCTGTTAGTGAAAATAGTGGTAAAATTACCTATTTCTTTCCTCTGCTCTTTCAAAATAGCAAAAGAAAACATCTCACTTTATCCAAATTTTCCCACTGATAACGGGAAATGGAAGCAAAGAGGGTAAGGAGTCAAGCAGTGTGTACACTGACTCAATAACAGCAGTACCTTCCATATGCTGGGCAGCTACAAGTCAAGCACAGTGTTACTCCATTTTTCCGATGGGAAACATCAAGTTCAAAACAGTTAAATAACTTGCCAGAGTATCTCAATCAGTGGCAGATCTTAAGATGCTAACATAGATCTATCTCTAAAACTCTTTCCACTAATCTACACTAACTAAACAACGATATATCTAAACTTTACATAGAGCAAAAATTACATAGTGCTACTTATGAGAGAGGAAAAAAAAACTGCCTTCACTTACCGATATCTATGTACAAACACTCCTTTAAATATTGCATTCATCATATTTTCTATTTCATCTTGATTTTCTTGAAGCTGAAAAGAATAATACACCATTTCTTTTCAATTGTAAAGAAAGATAACCAAAAGAACATCTAGAAGCAAATGTGGTTTAGCTAGTGTTTTGGTGATTACATCTAATTTTAATTTTACTAGACAACATTAACCACACAGAAAAATTAACAGCTGTTGTATATCAGGTAGCTCAAGTCTCTTGATACCTGAAATATTTGACTTGGCTTTTCCTATATAGCTGGTAGATTAATTTTTCTTAATTTTCACAAATCTACATAGTTTAAAGGACTCTAAAAAAATCTGTTCAGTATTCTATTATTACTATATATCATTTATTATATATCATGTGTTTATATAAAAAAGTCAAGTATTTCATTATCTAGATCTTTATAGTCTAAAAAGAAGAGTTACGTTAACTAGTAGCTGTTCAAAGAACAAAAGAAATTACAGTAAATTAGGTAAAAAATTTATCTCCCTGTTAAACTGTTTTGAGCGAAGTAAGACTGACCTGAAATAATCAAGTAAACATTTCAAATCTGACTGACCTAACTACTCACATATATTTTAAATTCAGAATTAAGAGAAAATTATTTCTTTTAAAATCTAAGAATAAAACAGCTTTCAGATGATATTCTGTGCTTTTGGAAAAAAAATTTTTTCCTATAAATATAACCTAGCACTTCCAAATAATGCTAACAAGGACATTCACTTCTTATATTCATTAGCAAGATAAATTAGTCAAAGGTACAGGCTGTCTTTCTAATATGTTTAAAAATGTAACCATGACCTAGAATTATTAATATCTTGTATCTGTACACAAATTTTAATGTCAAAGCTTTTTACCTATATCTACTCATTCTGTGTTCACAATCTTAATGTCCAAGAATTAGGTCTTAATTTCAAGAACTAAAACATACATAAGGGGCTAAATTATCAATTCTTCAAAATAGATAAAAATCATGTGTAATGATATGAAAATTAGGCATGGGAGATATATGGGCAACATTTTTCCGGCTTTTCTTGAGTCGGGGCATTTAAAAAAATTATTAAACATTTCAGAGATACCTAATTTAAAATTACAGCCCCTGCCTCACAAAAATAAGCAAGTAGTTTATGGATTACCATGCAAATATTTGAAGTCGACTGCATTACTAATTTTTTGAAACATCAGACCCTGCCTAGTAGAAATAAAAATAAACATCACAATTATCAGACTGAAAAATACCTTATCACCAGTGAAGGAGGAATTTCAATTGCAAATGCAATATCAAGAGAACTCAGTTACTATTATTTAGCATAAGGCTGAAAAAATTATTTTCCTTAAGGTGAATTTGGTGGTCAGTCATTAATGTTAACCAAGTGTTTCTGACTGTACAAACAACAGACTTAGATGCCATAAATAACTTATACTTTATTTTTCATAGTAATTTCACATTAAGAGAAACACCTCATTTTATGGTGGCAACAAGCTGAGAGAGGCAGTTAGGAGAGATTTTCCACAGTAGAGATGAATAATACTAAGGCTTAGAGAACTTGTCAGACTGGTACAGGAGCACACAGTTGAGACTACACTCCAGGACTCCTTACTTAAAGCCAAATAAATACGCTTTTGACTTCTCCACACACATAGAAAATATACCTGTAAAGTATTATTGGCATGGATTTTCAACAAAAACTTTAAGTTAGACACACAGGCAATTCAAATTATAAATTTAAATGTTTGAAAATTTTTTATATAATGAAATAACAAAGTTACACCATAATTAGTGGTCATATATTTAAGAGTAAAAATATTCACTATAAAAGTTTACCTCTTTCCGCTTTTGTAGCAGGAGTTCTAGCCTCTCGTTGGCTCGCTTCCCAATCATTTTATTCCGTTCTGCCTCATATTGTCTTTGTGTATTATCCATATTAATGCTAAGATTTAGTGCCACATTCACCAAAGCTGTCATCAACTTCATAGCTATTTTCAAAAAGGTAAAGTGTTGATTAGTCTAACAGATGTAAAATTTTACAATTTAAGATCTAATTAAGAGAAATTGAAAACATCAAGATGAGCTGCTCTGCTTCTAACAGAAAAGAAAAAGACAACTGCTACAAACAATAGCAGTAATAATAAAACAACAACTAATGTGTACTGGATACTTACCATATGTCAGTTACCTATGTTAGTACTTTTCATGTTATCTCTTAATCCTCACAACAGTCCTCAAAGGTAAGCATTATCCCCACATCATTCATGAGGAAACTGAAGGTCAGGGAGATGAAGAAACTTGTCTCAGATTACACAGTTAGTAGTTAAACCAGGATTACAAACCAGGTAATCTGACTTCAAGACTTCAAGCTCAAATCCCACTTTGCTATAGTATGGCCCTTACAACGATCGTTTTCAGACTCCATGATTCACCTCCTTCGTAAATTAGTTAATACAGCAGTCATTTAGCTATCTTTCTAACCAAAAGAGGCTTGACTGCTTTATATCCAATTATACTAGGTAAAAATGTTGAAGTTTTCTCAGTTATTTCCTTTAATTTTTAGTTCATGGGTGGTGCAAATGCTTATACGCTCAACTACTAGCGGAAAAGTTGAGGGTTCAAACTCACCCAGAGGCACCTTGGAAAACAGTCCTGGCGATCTGATTCTGAAAGGTCACAGCCTTGAAAACCCTATGGAGCAGTTCTACTCTGCACACATGGGGTTGCTAGGAGTCAGGGTTGACTCTACGGCAACTTAACAACAACAACCATCATAAAGATGATAAAGAAACTGAAGACTACACCTAGATGAAAGTTAATGTTAAGTGCAGAGTGAAAATGCCACTCAATAAAGTGCTTTCTAAGACTTCCTCCAGACCACCACCTTCTGTTACTCAATCTTTTTCCCAGAGAAGAGACTCTCATTGCTTGCATTTAAGTTATCAGCTGAAAGACCTGATCACTTTATCCTTTCTTCAGCTGACTCCACAGACTATTTCTCAGACCTGGTGCAATCCACAACACAGCAAAATGAAACTACATCTCAATTTGCTGCTACTAACTCTCTTAAAGAGATATTTCCCAATTTTCTGCTCCTGGCAATGTCCCATCTTCAGCAAACCAGCCAGTTTATCATTCTGATCTAAAATTATTCACCTTACACTACATGCTTTAATTTAGTTTAGCCATCAAGTTCTTGACACTGAACACTACCTTAAGTTCATAAAATAAAACCACATTCATATTTTGTGACTTCAAATCTAAAACCTATAAAGAAGATTGTCTGCATTTTATTTTGAAAAATGGAGGACTTAACATAAGTATATCTTTCATCACAGCTTTACTTCTTTGGGAAAATACTGTAAAGGAAAAAAAAATCCCCACAGAGAACGAAAAATTTTTGAAGGAATCAAAATACTTTATTATTAAGTCTTAGATTACTATAATAACAACTAAAGTCTAGTTGATTTATTCCAAATTCAAACCAAACAACACATATTCAATAATAGTGACAGCACTTTTACTTTAAACTGAAGGAAAAAACAAAAGATTTTATCAACACCAAATTCACTGCCTTAGAATTAATAATGTGTGGCTCAAAAATGTGACTTGTTTCACTTAAAATTTAAAGATAAAAAAAACTGACCCAGCCTAAAGTTATCCAGAAACATTTAAAAGAAAACCTACTTTTTGCAGTGTGATTAGAAGACTAGACATCATCCAGTAGGGGTCATCATACTAGAGACAAACTACAGCATCATCAAGATTACATATCAAAAACGGATGCCTCAATCCCACGTCTCCCCTCCCTAAGTTTGCTGTCAACATCCTCCATGACGGCACAGCTTTCAAGAATCCAACACATACCTATCCACCTCTTTCCCCTTGCTCTGACATAGTAACCGAGTGCGTTTCCCATAAGAAAATCATCATATACTAGCTATAGTATGCCTTCAGACGCCACACAGAAAATAGCATCTCATTCCAAATAATTCACCGGGGTGAAGAAAGAGGTGGGGGGGGGTCTTCTTAGTTGTCACTTTAAAAATGAAATTAATTTGAGTCACTATTATTTCCTTTATCTTTTAATGAGAATCTTTTTCATCTTTAGTCTAAAGCAACACACAGAAAATATTTCTAAATACTGACCTGCCAGGGTGCTTGTATGTCGAAATGCTCTGACTTGGGAGTCAGAAAGTCCAGTAAGAAGTGAAATTACTGTATCCATCATATACTCATCATATATGATACTATATTGACATTGCCTTACTAATACACCAATGAATTCACAAAAACTGGATTTGAATTTCTTCCACTGAGGACCAGCCATGGTAAGTGGATAATCTCCACTGTCCTAAAACAAAAATTTGAAACAACAATTTCATTTAAAATTCACGATTTCACAAAATTTCACTTGTTTTTGAAATGCTCTAGGCGAAAGCATGAAAAGACTCCTTTATCTCACCTTTCCTATCCAATCATCCTCCAAGTAGGCAGGAGAATACTTACTATGCAAAGATAGATGTTGCTTTGAACACTTCTGATCTTTTATTGAGACCAAAATGGACATTCTAGATGCACTTTAACCAGTGCAAATACATACTTACAACTCTGGGGTTAAAAATAAAATACTTCCCCCACCAAAGCTAAACACTACTCTCATAAGCACAGAATATACTTGTTAAATTTCTTTGAAACAAAATAAAAAATCAAACCAAAATTATATTTTTAAATAGATTCAAAATGATGAAATCATATTCTCATCTACAGCCTAATGGAATAATGTATGATTTATCCATCAACAAAAGACAATAATGTGTATTACTTTCATTATTTTCAAGACATCAAATAGTCAAAAGATATAAACAATCAAAGAAAAAGAGAAACTGAAATGTAGGTAGTATAGCCTTAAAAGACTGGTGCTCAGGTTTTCCTCTGCACAAAGATGGAGCATTCTCCAAAGAGGTAAAACTGAGATTCTTCATAACTCATTAGAAACAAGCACATCCCTAAAAAGAAAGGCAGAGACTAATACTATATAGAACCCATTAAAGTAAGGGTCTCTGACAAGAATATCCTAGAGACTTAAGGTAATTTATCAGTACAGTTTAGTAGATTTTTAGCAATTCACTTTTGTCATTAGAACAATATTTTTTAAGTCATGCCAAGGAAGAATTAAGTTTTATCCATATGGTGTTTTATGACTATTACCTAGCTCAAAAAACAATATACTATATAAAGACTATAAGGTACAAGAAGATACTTACAATACTGAACAAACTGATCCTAGAAGGCCAGTTATTAATCAATATAGAATTAAAACATTCACTACAAACTATCCAACCAACCCTATATACAACAGTAGCTTCCTCAGGAAGAACTAAAATCTTGCAAATAGAAAAGCTACTCTACACACATCCCAATCTCAAAACTTAAGCTACAGCAATCAAGACAGTTTGCTACTGGCATAAGAATATATAGATCCTTGGAATAGAACTGAGACTCCAGAAATAAATCCATACATGTATAGTCAAACTGATTTTCAACAAAGATGCAAAGTCCATTCAATGAAAAAGAATAGTCTCTTCAACAAATGGTGCTAGGACAACTTATTTCTACATGAACAAGAATGAAGTTGGACCTCAACCTCATACCATATGTGAAAATGAACTCAAAACGCATCAACGACCTAAATGTAAAAATTAAAATCACAGAATTCATAGAAAAAAATAGGGGTAAATCATCATGACGTTAAATCTGGCAATGGATTCTTAGATATGACACCAGAAGCATAAGTAACAAAAGACAAAACAAATTACAGTGCATTACGTTAAAAAACTTTTGAATATAAAAGGACATTATCAAGAAAAGTGAAAAAACAAGCCACGGAATAGGGGAAAGGATTTGCAAATCATACAGATGATAAAGGTTTAATATCCAGAATATATAAATAAGTCTTACAATTCAAAAAAAAAAACAGATAAACAACACAAATAAAAATGGGCAAAAGACTTGAACAGACATTTCTTCAAGGAAGATATACATATGGCCAATAAGCACATAAAGAGATGCTCAATAAATGCAAATGAAAACCAATATGAGATGCCATTTCATACCCAGTAGGGTGGTTATTATAAAAAAAAAAAAAGCAAGTGTTGACAAGTATGTGGAGAAACTGCAATCCTCATCCAATGCTGGTGAGAATATAATATACTACAGCCACTGTGGAAAGTGGTCTGGCAGTTCCTCAAAAACTTAAATATATTACCAAATTTACAAGTATATATCCAAGAGAACTGAACACAGTGACACTTATAAGCCAATGTTCACAGATACGTTATTCACAATACCTAAAAGGCAGAAACAATTTAAGTGTCCCTCACCAGATGGATAAATAAACAATGGAATATTATTCATCCGTAAAAAAGGGGTGAAATTCTGACATGTGCTACAAGGACGAACCTTGGAAACATTATGCTAAGTGAAATAAACCAGACTCACAACGACAAGAAATGTATGCTTCAACTTCTATTAAGTATCTAGAAAAGGCAAATTCATAGACACAGAAAGTAGAATAGAGTTTACTTGGGGGCTGCAGAGATGGAGGAATGAGGAATTATTGCTTAATGGGTACAGAGCTTCTGTTTGGAGTAATGAAAAACCTTTGGAAATAAATAGTAGTGATGGCTGTACAATATTATGTGTAATCAATGTCAGTGAAATACATGTAAAAATGGTTAAATGGCAAATTTTATATTACACACACATACATATAAAACATTTAATATCTAAAGGTTAAAAAAAATCATTACTCCTAATTACCTCTCAGCTACTTGGGGACTGATTAATGGAACTTAGTGATTATCAAAGCCTTTTTAACAACTCTTGTCTGTCTTTTAGAATGATAGTTGAAAGCTCCATCAGAATAAGAAAAGAAAAATGATCAAGTAATATTCAAATGAGACAAGGTTTACTACTTTAAAATTCATGGTGAAAAGTTTTGGGAGAGCAAAACTACTGGCAATGAAATACAGCTGTGAAAAAAGACAAAAGTCCCTGACCTATTTTTATCATTATTCTTATCAATCATATTTGAAACATAAAGGGGTTTTAAAAACAATCTATTTTTCTTTGCCTAAGCTCCATGGTTTCTAAAAATTAACCAAATTTGTATTTTACAATACTCCAGGATATGTTCTTGTGCTCTAAATTTTATTTCTACTTGAAATTTTAATTTTTTGCCTATAATGATAGCAGATACCGTTTATCAAGTTCTTACTTTGTACCAGGCACTGTAAAATGCTAAGCAATTTTCAAGCATTACTTAATTCAATCAGCATAACTTTGAGATCAGTATTAATTATCCCCAATTTAGAAATAATGAAATATGTCAAGACAACAATTTGTCCAAGATCACAAAATCATCATTTGATAGTCAAGATTAAATATGAGACCAAAGTTCTTACCCATTTAACAATAATACTCAGAATTTAACAATATATTCAATAGTAAATCAGGATCAACATGCATAAAACTATCAAAACATTTAGGGTAATAAAGTTACCTCATCAAATTCTTCGGTCATTTTTCGAATTATTTCAGAGTTCTGCATATGTCTAAACATTTCCGCTGTGACAACTCCTGAAATTTTCAAGTGTTAGAAATTAATACATGATAAAATGGAAAGAACAAAGAAAAGTTCCAGATCGGTCTCTAACACTAAGATGCCTGAAGTCACCTAATAAAGATATACTTGATGTTTATCATGATACTTGTACCACTCTCAATATGTACAAGACAGGTATCTTTCTTCCTAGCACAATCAGTTTTGGCCATTTCTAACTGACTTAACTTTATTAATGTCTGTAATATCGTACAGCCTTTGCCCCTTTAATATAAACTGTATGTAAACCTAAAAATGATAGGGAAAAGAGCAATAGGTAGAGTTTACTTAAGCAAGGCCTCTAAAATCCAAAAAGATCAAGAAAATATTTACTAAGTCTGAATCGATATGACTGCAATGGATTTTACTGTGTGTAGGCAACTAGATGCTTACAACCTCAAAAAGGGCTGCCAATAAGTATAAGTAGTAAATTGAAGTTCCCACTTCTTCAGGAGCCTGTATTCAAGCTGGAAATCAAGATTTAAAAAAAGGAAAGAAAAACTTTAAAGGCAGTATGTAATAAATGCACTAAAATGAGTGGCAATGCCAAGAAATACTACAGCTCAGGAAAAAAAAATCACCATAAAATAGGAGATCAAGAGCGGTTTTATGAAGAAGGTATCTGATTAAGGACATTTAGAATTTTAAAGAAATGAGAAGGTAGAGGAGGAAGGGTCTACGTCACAAGAAGTATCCAGAAAGAGATCAAACATCAGAAAAGGGATTTCTAGGAAAAAGTTATGAGCAGGAGACACTGCAGGAAGAAAATGTACATGGACTTCCACTGATAGGGCATCAGAACAACAAACATAAAAGCTGGATTTCTCAAAAACCAGAATTTCTATTGCTGGATTATTTATTTGCTTGCCAGTCTAATTAAAACAAATAACATAAATACTGTATAAACCAAACCAAACCAAACTTGCTGCTATAGGATAGAGCAGAACTGCCCCACAGGGTTTCCAAGGAGCACCTGGCGTATTCAAACTACCGACCTTTTGGTTAGCAGCCATAGCTCTTAACCACTTCGCCACCAGGGTTTCCAAAATACTGTATAGTAACATCTAAAAGGAGAATGCCTTGGTATAGGAAGACCAGAGCTATGTTTTGCATATGTATATACTATATGCATATCTAAAAATAAGTAACAAAAATAAAATTTAAAAAGAATAAAACTTCATACTCCCTTTTCCAATTCCAAACTTAAAACAACTGATACATTAGCTACTTCTCCATGGGTATGCAATTTAAGACTCTCTAGTAGCATAGCCGAGCCCTAGTGGCACAGTGGTTAGGAGCTAGCTACAGCTACTAACCAAAAGGTTGGCAGTTTGAATCCACGAGCCACTCCTGGAAACCCCACGAGGCAGCCTACTCTGTCCTAGAGGGTCGCTATGAGTCAGAATCGACTCAACAGCAATGAGTTTTTTTTGGAGTAGCAAAGCAAAGCCTAAAGTCGTAGAACAGGAACTAACATTCAGTGGGCCTGCAATGTGCCAGCCACTTCACATACATTTAGGCCTGGTACCAACCCTATTAAGAAGGTACTATGATCCCTGCTTTACAAATGAGAAAACTAAGGTTAAGAGAAGTTAAGCAATTTGTCCAAGATTATACATCTACATCATGCTGCCTCCCCCAGGTGAGATGGGTTTCTAGTGGTACCCTGGAACAACCCTTAGCACAACCTTAAAAAGAACCAAATAAGTCTTTAAAACATACATATATATATATCTCGCCTAATTTGGAAGAAAGCACCATTTCACTAGTGAAAGAAAAACATACTAGAAAATCTTCTTAAGAGTTTTTAATCTAGAGTCATGGATCTCTGTTCAAAATCTTCCCATACTTTATACCCAGGTCCTGTATACTTGGCTAAGCAAGACAAAGACAAGTAACTCAATCCCTGAAACACTTTCTATGAAATAATTGTGTATATATAAATTAGTCTCAAAACAAACCTGGGGAATAAATTTTGACAAATGCTCGATTTCTCAAGTCTCCATCTCACACGCCAGAAATCCAAAAATAAGCAGAAAAGGGTCTCTCAGTAAAAAGCAAAGTTGTTGTGTGCCTTCAGGTGGGCTCCAACTCACAGTGACCCCATACAACAGAGTAGAACTGCCCCATAGGGTTTCCCATGAGTCAGAATTGACTAGAAGGCACACAACAACAACAACAAATCTTTACAGGAGAAGATTAATAAGCCTTTTCTCCCACAGAGCGGCTGGTGGGTTCGAACCACCAACCTTTAGTAAGCAGCCAAGCACTTAACCATTGTGCCATCTGGGCTCCTTGAAGGGAAAGGAGCTGTCAAATTCCATGAATTCTTACTCCTGAGGCCAGAGTCAACGTGCCTTAACTGCCTTAAAAATGCAGACGACATGAAACAAGACTGTTACAAATTGATAAACAGAAAAGTGAAAGCTGACCAGGAAGGAAAGAAGGAAACAACACTGGTGGTAGAACCAATAACAATAGAGAGCAGTCTGAGGCCATTCAGCAGAGGGCCAACAATCTTCCACACCTCAACAGCTGCAGAAGACATCACTGTATTACTGTAAAATAACTGATGCTCATAATGGCGACCCTCAGTTGAAAGGAAAAAGTATGTTCAGCATATTTATGTACATTCATAATGTACTCTAATGCATTTATGAAATAATTTTATCAAAATTATTTTGTGTGCATTTTGAAAGTACTTAATGACCTAAACTTTGATTATGTGATAAATTTCTTTTATGCAGATTATTGGATTGCAAACTAAATATTATAGCAGTCCTTACGTCTAGCTAATAATTTAAGTTTACAAGACCTTCAATACGTAGAAATCCTGACAACTTGGTTTGTGACAAAGTATATCCAGGTTGAGTTAATAAGCCCCTGTTTATAAAGACATTAATGCCAGAAAAAGATTGAATCCAATAAAGGGAAACTGTCCTGACTATGGCCTTGTTTTAAAACTACAATTCAGAAGCCTAATTAAGAAATTAAAGCTGACTAACCTATGCTGTGACATGAAAGACTGAAGTTAAAAATTAGAATTTCAACTCATAAAATTTGTTTAGTTGTTCCACAATCAACCTTCAATTTTCAAAGAATGTAAAGAGAAAGGACATGGCTCTTGGTTAAATAACACAACAGATGGATACTTGTACCCTTCTACTCCAGAAAGATGGACATTAGTATAAATAATTTAAACATATCTCATTTTTCTGAAAGAGTCAACCTAGCTAAGAACCTTAAAGATATATGTTGCCATTGCTACATTCCCTCTGAGCAGGCAAAATAATTTTCTAACACTGAGTTGCAGCCACCTTTATCTAAGAAGTCAAGATTCAGTCAAATCAACTAGGCAGCTCTCTCTTTACTCTAAGGTTAAGACAGTTTCAAATTTTTCTCAAAATTAACCAAGTTAGTAGCATTATGATAATCACAGATTTTAGAATTTAACATATTTATCTAACTTTCAGGCCTAACACAGATCATTTTAATCAGCATGCTGCACTCACTGTTGCCAACAACCTCAAATAAAATGCATCAGTTCTTACAATGCTACTTGTTTACCAATTCAATTTACAGTATTTTTAAAGGCGTATTGCTGAAGTAAAGGCAATAGTTGTAAATAAAATTGCTTTTTGGATTCTTCTTTCCGATTTGTTTAAATCATTCAAGTTCTTTGGCATTCTCAACTTTTTTTTTTTTTTTTATCTATTTTTAAGCAACCTTCCCTCCAGACTTCTAATGCCCATTCTGGGGGCCAATTTCATAAAAAAAAAAGTTTAATACTCCTGGAAAACTCTGTAAAAATTATTTGTCCGGGCATCTTGTAGAATTTCAAGGATGGGCCAACTATTACAGAGACACAGGGCAGATCAGAACCAGTCCATGATCTTGATTCACTCATTTACTGATACAGATCAGGATGTATGACTCCCCAACTTATATAATTTTATCCCCCTGCTAAATGTCTCCCCTAAACATTTTTGTCTTACATAAGACATTTATTTCCATATTTTGTTCTTTCCCACTCCTTCTTCAAAATCTTTTAAAATAAAGTAAAAACACTTTAAACAAATCCCCACTCCAGTACCAGAGCTTCTCAACCTTTTACAACTAGCAATTTCATCAACATCTTACTACTTACTTTACTTACTTACTTACTTACTTACCTACCTACTTACTTACTTACTTACTGTCATTCATGGCACTTTATAATTCCCTGAACTTTACAATTCCCTGCCATTTGAACCTGTATCTCTTCATTATCTTCCTCCTCCCTTCTTAATCCATTTCATTGTTCCTAAAACCAGATGCTGAAAGTGGGAAATATATCTAATAACAGCAACATAACAATTATAAATTGCCACGTTTTTAGATAACTTTCACATATGAATACAAATATCTCAAAAGACTTCTGCCTTACTTTGTTCTTTGCTTTTTTTTCCTTAAACATTTTGTATGGGTAAAATGCAAATAATTCAACACCTTGGCATTATTTTCCATGTACTGTGCTAACATCTCTTTAGATAGAATAAAAAAGAAGAGACTATTTTTGAGGGTATTCTTCTTCCAAAATAAATATATCTTACCTTTACAGCCTGAACACTGAATAAAAAAGTTGATGAGGTCAAGAAGTGCTATATCTCGGTCATGCTTATATGATTCTATCCAATCATCTACCACCGACTACAGCAGAGGGGAGAAAATAAAATTATTAGCTTTTTATAATAGTCTAAAAATCAATTAAGTCTGATGAAAGTCATTAGCATTCAACATTAAGTGGACTGTTACTTCAAGTTAACATACATGCTTATATACTGAAATTTAAAGTTAAATTTTAAGCATAAATAAAAAGAATCGAACTGAATAAAAGAATCACCTGACAGTACAAAATGAAAATCAATCTTCCTATTTATTTTGCATTACAAGGAACCTGAAATTCAACTATGAGACACAAGTCTAAAAAGTGTAATTACTTATTATTTGCTAATAACATTAAATATATCCTAAAAAAAACATTAAAAGTTCACATCCATATTTCTTTCTGGCTAAAATATGGTAATATGTGGTATTTAAATAGTCACACTGCAATGGAATAAAAATGAAAAGTGAATGCCTGGGTCAGGGAGACAGAATGTTTTTTTTTAAACAGTGAACACTCATAGTCCTATGTTAATAAAGAAAGTCAAATTAAAGACTAAATAAAAGTCAAAAGAAAGTAAGACACTTCATGGATCTGAAGACTTAATTTGCTCCCCAAATTGACCTAAAGATTCAATGCAATCTGTATCAAAATCTCTTTGCAAAAAGTGAAACGCTGGTCATAAAGTTCTTATAGTAATGTAAGGGACTCAGAATAGCCAAAACAATCTTGAAAAAGAACAAAGTTGGACGACTCACATGATTTCAAACCTTATTACAATGCTACAGTAATCAAGATGGTGTGGTACTGGCATGAGGATAAGACATACAGATCAATAGAACAGAATGTCCAGAAATAAAACCTTAAATTATGGTTAACTGATTTTCAACAAGGACGCCAAGAGAATTCAATGGGGAAAGAATACTCTTTTAAACAAATAGTGCTGGAAAAACTGGATATCCACACATAAAACAATGAAGTTGGACCCTACCTTACACCATACACAAAAATTAATTCAAAATGGGACACAGACTGAAACGTTAAGAGCGAAAGATTAAAAAATCTTAGAATAAAACATACCTGTAAATCTTCATGACCTTGAGTTACACAAAGCCTTTTTAGATACTACACCAAAAGCACAAGCAACAACAACAAAAAAAGATAAACTGAACATCATCAAAACTAAAAGCGTCTGTGCTTCTAAGGACACCATCAAGAAAGTGAAAAGACAATCCACAAAGTAGAAGAAAATATTTGGAAATTGTATGTTTGATAAGGGACCTGTATCCAGAATATATATAAAGAACTCTAACAACTCCATAATAAAGAAAAATAGTCCTTTTAAAAATATGGGCAAAAGATCTGAACAGACATTCCTCCAAAGAAGATATACAAACACATGAAAAGATGCTCTACATCATTAGCCATGAGGGAAATGCAAATCAAAACCACAATGAGATACCACTTACACCCACTAGGATAGCTATAATCAAAAAGCAGACAGTAATAACAAGTATTGGAGAGAACGTAGAGAAATTGGAACTCTCATATACTGCCAGTGGGAATATAAAATGGTGCAGTCCCTTTGGAAAAACAGTTTAGCAGTTCCCAAAAAAGTTAAACACAGAGTAACCAAATGACCCCAGCAATTCCACTCCTAGGTATATGTACCCAAGAGAAATGACGACATACATCCACACAAAAACCTGTCCAAGAATGTTCAAAACAGCATTATTCCCAACAGCCAAAAACGTTAAAACAACCTAAATGCCCATAAACTGATAAACAGATAAATAAAATATGGTATATCCAAGCAATGAAATATTACTTGGCAATAAAAAAGGAATGAAGTGCTGATAAGTGGGACAACATGGATGAACTTTGAAAACATTATGCAAAGTCAAAGAAACCAGTCATACAGGATCACATATTGTAAGACACCATTTATATGAAATGTCCATAATAGTTAAATTATAGAGAAAGAACTTATATTGGTAGTGGCCTAGTCCTGGAATGGTAGGGGGTGGAGACTCACTGTTAATGGGCGAGACGTTTCTTTATGGAGTGTTGAAAATATTCTAAAAGTAGATTGTGGCAATGGCTGCACTTGTGAATATACTAAAACTCACTGAATTGTACATTTAAAATGGGTGAGTTTTATGGTACATGAATTATATCTCAAAACAATTTTTTAAGTAGAAAGTAGGACTAAACTAAAAAATAAAAACAATACTTTATTCTTCTGGGGGAAGAGGCAACCATAAACTTGACAGAAATAATTTTTAAATAAAGGAAATCAACAACATTAGGATGCTAAACAGCTAATATTAAAGACTAAAAGTCGGGAGGGTAAAATGTTTCTAAGTTACATACCAATAAATACGGAACCCAAGTCTAAACTGAGTAAGTAAAACAGGTGATTTTGGTGCAATGGATTGCTTTCGTGTGCCTTTCTCACCATGGTCTTGTAACTCCCACACAGGTGACTGGGCGGGACTGTGTGATACGGTAATTGTGGCCCACCAAGGGGGTTGGTCAGTTTTGCCATCACACTGGGCATGAAATGAGCCAACCCAGAGGCAGGAAAGAGAAGAGCCCACCACCACCAAGGAAGCAGAGACCCAGCAGCAGGAGATGGCGTGGTGGGCTTCCAGGCCCATGAGAGAGAAAGCTGAGTGTCTTTGGGCAGAGGCGTGCCTAGCAAGGCTGGGAAGAGGCTGTCCTGATGTAAGAACTGTATCCTTGAGTGTTCCTGAGCCTGAACGGTAACCTGTTACTTCCCTAATAAACCCCATGATCGTTGAGTATTGTCTGTGAGTTCTATGTGGCCATTGCAATGAATTATTGAACCCAGCAGAGAAGCAGAGTGCCATGGGAAGGACATCTGGTGTCAGAATCAGCAAAGAAGGTGGAGAGAGGAGGCATGCCTGACCTCCACCTCACAGGAATGAGCCTTGGGCTGCTGGTCTTGATTCTCCTTTCTCCTTGTACAGTTAGAAGTCAGGCACTGCCCCCATGCCATGTTTACACCCATGCTGTTTTTGCCCCCACATCCTTTTTACAATAATGTACAAGAAAGATAATATGATTACATTATAAAGAATTATCTGGCTCAGACAGATTGACTGGAGATGTTCAGAAATTTTATTTCATTTTCTATACGTCAATCCTTTTCTGTATTTTATAACACTTTGAGTATGTTAACTAAATTTACAAAAGTGTTTTAGTATTATTCTCAATTATGATATAGGCAATAAATATCAAGAGAATATTCTTTTGGGACTGTGATAGCTTTAAAACGTAGCCCCAAATTCTGATATTCCTCCCCATTAAGAGGTGGGGTCTATGTCCCTCTCCCTAGAACAGAGTGCAGTAGAAATGACATGTGGCTTCCAAGATTAGATTATAAAAGGTCATGCAACTTCTGCATTGGTTTCTCAGATCACTAGCAAACTGGACACTCCCTCTAGAAACTCTGTCTTCAAACTCAGCCACCACACTATAAAAAGCCAAAGCCACAGAAAAGACCATCTGTAGGTGCTCCAGTCACCAGTTCCAGCTGAGACCAGCCTTCTATTGACTCCAGACTAGGTGTCATTTTAAAATTTTAATCATCCAATACTATGCACACAACTTAATGAAATTCAACATCTACTACCTCATAAAACTAGGGGGAATATGCATGGTTTCTCCTTTAATGTTAACTATTTTAAAGCCAACAGCCAGTACTGTACTTCCCTTTATAATTACTGAATTCAATACATTCCAGGGATACAAAAAAAGAATAACAACCGGTCTCTGATCAAGGAATTAACAATCTAGAAGCAAAGTCTGACATATACACGACTGTAACACAATACGCTAAGTCCTATAATAGAAAATAAAAGTAAGAAACATATTTAAGAGGAACAGACAGTGTCTGGGAATGCTTCTTGGAAAAGGAGTGACATTTGAGTTAGTCAATCCTATCTGATAAGAAGGGAGGAAGAAAAGCCTATTCCAGGTAAACAGAGAAACAAGAACACACTGGGGACAGAATACATATTACGGCTACAGAATAGCAAGTATGCCATAAGGAAATCTTGGCTGGAACTTTTGAATAAGGAAGAAGCCTTGGAAGTTTCTAAGCAAAGGAACTCTCTTAATGAAATTTCACTCTTGGAAAGGTAACACAAGTGGGAGTACACATAATGAATTGGAGGTGGAAAGAAAAAAGATTCAGGAAAATCAATGGAGAGATACAGCAGACATTCCCCCTTTTAAGGGAGAAACACACTTAGAAAAAGAAAAAGAAATGGCATAGAGTGTAAACTTAATGCATGGCAAACCAGAAGCAACACAAAAACAAGGAAAATATTCATTCTTAAAACAATGGCATACCATTAACAAAAAGAATTCAATACAAAGCTTATCCCTCACCATATCCTATTAAAAAAAATTTAATGAGCCAAAAAGTTACAGCAAAAACCCTACAGACTGGACAAAAATAGAACAGCCTAATTAGCTGTGGATATGTCAAGATTTCTGATGTTAACAAAAACGAAAGATAGCAGAATAAGATCAATGCATTTAACTACACAGAACAAAATATTGTAGAGGAAAATAGAAAAAAAAGGAAAGTAATGAAATACATAATACAATTGACATAGTTTATCCCTTTAATAAAATTAACCAAAGGGAGACCTGGAGAGAGGGAGTTAACTTCTTTTAAGCAGGCGATGACTAAATAAACCATATCCAGTAATATAGTATTTTACAGCTATCCAAAAAGCCAAATGTGTATACAAAATAATCATTAAAAACATTAAACATTAAGTAGAATCCACATCCTAATCATAACTGTACAAAATCAAACTTTCCTATATGAATACATGAAGATGAATTAGAATATGAATAAATTTGGTGTCAATTAAGTTCTTTGCTCTGTAAAATTGTTGAAAGCTCAACCAACAATTATTTTTATATTTTACATGTATGATAATTCTGTATTAGTCACAATTACGATTTTTTCATTTACAAAACCACACACATTTAGATAACTATGCTTATAAATAAGATTTGCGTTTCAGTTATTAATAACAGAAAGCTTAAATGGTCAGTTCTCAATAAACCATCCTTGTGCATCTTTTATTGATCAAACAATTCTATCAAGGAAAAAAAAAACTATTCCCTATAGGTTTTATAAAGTAAATAAAAACTTTATTAAGTATGTAAGTATAGTGTTTATTTAATTTTTAAAAACCATACGGGTTTAGCCTACATTGTAAAGCCTAAATGCTTCTATTGTCAAAAAATTACTCAGAAGAAACATAATTAGGATCGTTTGATATGGATACACCTCCGACTTTTTACTCTTCTCCTAAGAAATAAACACAACCAATAAAATTTGTAATAGACAACAGTGACCAAAATAACTCAATTCACTAAAGTGGTTATCAAATATATTAGGCCACCCAACCAAGAATTCTATATGGGTAAAGTACTTAATATTTTAATGGAAGCTATATAAACTCAGAATAACAGAATAAGTAGGAAGAAAGGCCTGGCGAACTACTTCTGAAAATCAGCCAATGAAAACCCTACGCATGGGATTGTCATGAGTTGGGAGCCTACTTGACAGCAGCTAACAACAACATAAGAATTCAGGGGAAACAAAACTCATAGCCAGGATTTATATACATGTCATTAAAACATAATACAACAGAAAATGACTCAAGACACAGCTTAAAGGTCTTGCGTCTGAATAGACAAAGCCCTCGTTTTTTGACTAGTTTGTTGCATTTTTCTAATAAGTAGCATTAGAAATATATTTTAAAGATAGAATTAGAGAAATCAGGGATATAATAATTTATATAACTCACTAAAGTTTAAAAAGTACAAATAAATTGGGAAGGACACTACAAATATTACCTGCATAGCACTCTTGCCCATTTTAACAACTTCAAACAACATCATGTTTTCCACTCCATTCTGTTGGTGATGACCATTCATTCGGTTTGGACCAGAAGGAGGTTTTCCTCCTCCATTTCCACCTTTGCCCTTTTCTCCTGGGCCCTTTTTGCCTTTTTTACAAGTCTGCAAAAAAAAAGGTATACCAATATCCTTGAGAGTTCAAAATTAAGCTACAGCAGAAACTGCTGATAAGGTACATTATTATGACATGCTTAAACTTGACCTAAAGGAGTGTGCCGGCCCATACATTATAACAAAACGACATGGTTGTGACACTTAACCTCTTTGTGGTGTCAATTTTTTTCATTTGTATTACCATATAACCCACACGACATCATGCTCAGCCTCTGGAGTCAGACTTTCCAGGTCCAAATTTCTGCTCCTCTTATTAGCTGACTGATCTTGGCAAGTTACTTACAAACTGTGCTTCAGAGAGGTTTTCTAATTTGTAAACTGGGGATAGACCTATGCGTACCTCATAGGGTTGCTGTGGTAATGAAAACAAAAAGACTTAGCAACATACCTAGCACATACTAAAGTCTGAAAAATATTTGCTAATATCATCAGTTTAAAATGAGAAAATATATGTTAAAAGGTGCTCAATCCATGCTATTAGAGTCTAAATCGGATAGAAAGACTAACTGGAACAATTACTTATACAAAATCCAGGTCTGAATCCATTTAAAAAATTAAAGTACAATCATGGCATAAAAAGCCCTGAAAATATCAACGAAGTTTGAAAATCACTGCAAAAAAGATCTCTAAGGTAGAATCGTAGAATTCCCCAGAGCATCATAAACCAGGGTGGCTGTCTCCAAGCATCCCCTATGCTGCTTTAAGAGTACAGACTGGAATGGGCAGCAGGAATAATAAAACTCTTGTCAAATAAGTGGTTTATACTTTGTTCAACACTTTAACTTGATTTCTGTTACTTCTAAATCATTACAGTGCACTGAACAAAAAATTCTAAACTATATGAATAGGTGTATCAACCTCATTCTTGTCCCAGGCCCTCCTTCAAACACTTATCATGAGAACTCAATAAATGAATACTATGGAAATGAAGCCCTTTTATACAGAAGTTGACAGTATTGAAGATGGGGGCTTCATAAATCAGTGAAAAAGTTGTCTGCACGTCTCAGTTATAAAATATCTCCCACAGCATTTATACCTTGTTAAAGAAAAACAAACCACTTCCTAAGTCAAAGTCCCTATTTCTAAAATGGAATTAGGTTGATTAAGATCTTTACAGCAAAAGTTTGCTGACCCCTGGATTAGACAATTTCCAAGGCCTCTTCTAGAGTCACAAATTTCCATGATCTACAGCAGGCTTGGCAAATTTCCTATAAAGGGACAGATAGTAAATATTTTGGCCTTGCAGGCCACATGCAGTCTTTGTCGCGTATTCTTTATTTTTTTATTTTTACATCCCTTTAAAAAATTAAAACCCATTCTTAGCTTGTTTGAAGCAAAAAAAATAGGCTTTCCAACCCCTGATCTACAGATAGATCTACAAATTTATTTCCACTAACAACAGCTTGTGTGTTTTTGTACTCTATTCCATAGGTCCTTCCTCCTATCATCTGCTCTTCAACAACTAATTCAAACACCTCCCCAACAACTGAAAGATAAGACTTGTTGATTTAGATTACTTTGTTAATAAGATTCAGTCTTTGGGAACCTAAGTCATTAATTCCTAATTATATACTGAAAGGCTTCTGTCCCTAGTAGAACAACTTTCAGAGATAAGAGAGAGAAAAGATCAACTACAAAGAGTACACTAGAAAAACTATAAAACGCTCATGTTAATTAACATGAAGCTGTATATTTGCAATTTACTTAATCTATCATATGCTTCAGTATTCCCTGTCGGTATGGAAAACTAATTAGTACAATTAATATGGCTCAATGGATATGCTGTGCTAGAGAAAACAATGTGCGAAGAGTGATAATACAAGGGAAGTACAAGAAGTAAACATGCTACCCTGGGAACAATCTGGTAGAGGAAAAAAATGTCTAAAAACAAGAGTTTAGTAGGAGGCATAGTATAGTGGATTAAGAGCAACACCTTTAGATAGACCTGGGTTCAAATCCTTTAACCACTAAGCCTCTCTGGATGTTTCCTCATCTATAAAACAGGGAAGTTAGCTAATGTACAGAGTTTATTTAAATATTAAATCAGATAACATGTAAAATTATTAGTGTGCTCCACACAGAATACACATAGTATTCTGTCAAAAAGCAGTTGCTCTTATTATAATAAATCCTTGATCTAATCCCTAACACCTCACCCACAGTAGTGGCTACATAGTTAACCAAATTGTGGCACAAAAACCTCGGAGAGTCTTCTATTCAGATGCCACTCTGAGTCTTGTCCCAATTTGTAAACAAAATCAAAGCCAAAAGTTGATTAACAAAAAATAATTTTCGAATAACTGTATAAACCCGTAACCTGTTGCTGTCAAGTCGATTCCAACTCATAGCGACTTATACGCCAGAGCAGAACTGCCCCATAGGGTTTCCAAAGAGCGTGTGGTGAATTCGAACTGCCGGCCTTTTGGTTAGCAGCCATCACTCCACCACTACACCACCAGGGTTTCCAAATAACTGTATACTGCCCCCCAAAATTATGGCTGTCTTTAGATAAATTAACACTTTTATTCACATCTACTCCCCCTCCTGCTCTCCTATTCCCTCCCACCCTCCTTTTCTGTCTTTCTCAAAACTTCTCCTTTTTAAAGGGCTAAGCATACAAAATTATGTAAGACATGCATTATGCACACTCTAATATCCAAGGACTAGATAAATTATGTTTTATACATAAAATACAATGCTATGCCACCATAAAAAAAATCACAAAGAGCTATATTCACTGATACGAACTTTGTGAACAATATACCATGAGTTTCAAAAGCGTATTAAAAAACAGTTTACATAGTATGGTTCCATTTAAGTAAAACTCTATATGCATGTTTATACATAGGCATGTGAATAAAAATATGTTTGTTAAAATGTTTAATAATAAGTTACCTCTAAGTAGTAAGATTACTGCAAATTTTTACTTTGTTCATTGTATTCTTCTGTTACTTAAATTTTTTTAAGTAAATGTGTCATGAAAAAATAAAAATACTAGATTCATTGGGGGGGAACGTTGAAACAATAAAAACAAGTCATCTTTTGCACAATGTATTTAAACACACTCATAGTCAATGATTTAACCTTTTCACCAAGTTATACATAACCCTCAAGCTACCCACTCATACCCTAAACTTGCATTCTACTGACGCAGAACTTAACTTTGTCAATTTTTATCACTGACATTACTTACATCAGGGGTAAAACAATTGTCAGCTTTACTCCATTAGATTTAAACTGGTTGTATATTTAGAGAGCTTCAGAATAAATTTTATTTATTGCTTTGCTTTATATTTGACTATTCATGAGAAAATAAAAATAAAGCCAACAGAATACCAGATTTTGCTTAGTATATGTGCTTTACAAAATGAACTACTAGTAGTTACCAGTAACAATGATGTATCATTCATTCTAACTTGACAGCAAAACACAAACTCAAAAGCAATTATTTGGTCTAGAAGTCAAACAGGCCTCATGTATTCTGAAGGCTCACCATGCTAATCAGGAAAAACTAAGCCATTTTTAAAAAATAAAAATGGCAGAGACATAGCTAAATAAAACTGTCTAACAGTCCTAAAACAATTCTTTGTATATATATGACCTTACAACCAAAATAAAGTCACGTATTTGGTACATACTTTTCCTTTGCCTTGCTTTTGGTTTTTTCCTTCAATGTCTTCAAAATCTGTGTCAGAAGAAAAATGTGTCTCTGACTCCCTGTGGCAGAAAAATAAGCAAATATTTAAAATTTTTCTTAGAAATACAGACAGAATTCCTAATTTTTGCCACCTTTTCTAAAAGAAAGGTTTGGTTAACTCACTGCAAAGCTCCACATTAACATTACAAGTAATTAAGATGCTTTCCCAAAACATCATACCATTGCACATTACCAAACATCCAAGATTACATAACCAACTACAAAACCAGTACTCTAAAACACAAATATCTAAACATTTTTTAAATTTTTTGTTCATTTTTAACCAAAGCCTAAAAAGTAAACCTATGGCTCTCAAAATTTAACCCTGGGAATTAAGGTGCTTTGTTATAATGGGTTCGTTTCATCTTCTGGTTCAAAGACCAGCTTGATCAAGGAAACCTGTATTTTACCACTGAGCACTGGGTAAATTACGGAGTTTAGCAACATTAAAGATCCTCTGACCTCTCCTGACTCAAAAAAAAAAAAAGCTTCAAAATCTACATGTGAGATCACTATTGTTGTTGTTAGGCGCCATCGAGTCGATTTGGACTCACAGCAACCCCATGTACAACAGAACGAATCGCTGCCCGGTCCTGTGCCATCCTCACAATCATTGCTATACTTGAGCCCATTGTTGCAGATTACGAACGTGTTATTTCTGAAGGAGTATGCACAGAACATTTTTATAAATAATTGATCAAAACCTTGTGTGAAGTAAAGAAGTGGTGAGCTACAGTCACTTTGTGATCCTGGACAAGTGACAACCTTCTCAAGGCCTCAATCTTCTCGGCTATAAAGACAATATGTTGCTCAAGAAAGAATGAAATCTCTAAACTTTGTTTAACAATCTCCAAGATATAAATCTATAGTTGTAAGAAATTCTCCCGTACTTTTTGGCAGGGGAGGCACTTTGTACAATGCGGATTTTCTTACGTACATACGAAGTAGAATGACTTAAACACACATGTGATGCTTCCTATATGTGTAAACATGGGTCTAGCTATCTAAATAACAACGTTGTTGTCGTCAGGTGCCACTGAGTCACTGCTGACTCACAGCAACCCCACATGACAGAGCAGAACTGCCCCATAGGGTTTCCTAGGTTCCAACCTTTATGGAATCAGATAGCCAGGTCTTTTCTCCTGCACAGCTGCCGGTGAGTCCAAAGCACTGACCTTTCAGTTTTGCTTAGCAGCTGAGCAGTTAACCATTTCGCCACCAGGTATCCATAAATAATATCATACCCTAATTTAAATCCTTAAGGCAAGGCATTTATATTGGCATTTGGGTCACACTGGATTTTAGAAGTGAGCTGCACCCATCAAACAAAGGTTTTACACCCTAACTGTGTAAACTTAGTACAAGTTTTACTTAAAATAAATGCAACTAAAGTAAAAGGCTATCTTTGTAAAGCTAGTCTTCTCTAACCAGATTTCTTCTATTTCATTTTTATTGCTACAATAAACAGTTATCCAGAAGCTGTGAGGTAGAATACTTGATAAAGTAATGGTTAAGATGCTAGCAGGAAAAAATTACTATTTATGGCTCTTGCCTATCAAATTATTTAAACAATGTATTGAAGACAGTGGCAATCCTAACTATGTTCTATAATGGTGAGAGGAAAGGATCTGTTAATAATGCTGTTTCCCAGAGCATCAAAAACTGAATGACTACTATAATGTTAACACTTCAACTCATGCCTGTTACATCTTGAGAAGATTGTTGTCATCAATGTTCTTCCCACATACCTATATGGTCTTACAAAAAAAAAAAAAAAACTGAAAATGTTTTTAAATATCTCAGTGTATAAATAACACTTCTTTCTTCCCAAACCATTTGTGGGCTATCAGCTCTCTTAGAAAGCTCAGTAAGTGCTCTAAGTTTGTAAAAAATCACTAGTCTTCCCAATATTCCAATCGCCACAGAGTTATCAGAGGCTCAATTACACTCTTAATCCTCTAAGCCGCCAGAGGTTTGACTGCTAACCAGAAAGGCTTCTGAAGAAAGCTGAAATTAGTAATCAATCAGAGAAAAAACTCTCCAAAGTCTTTCTTTGTCCAAGGCTTTCCTGTGTTTTTAACATCAAAAGAACCAAAAATAAAACAAAACAAATACCCACCTACCCTAAGTGAAATAACATATCTGTATTTAAACCTGATGGGTTTTATCACGTGACTAAATCTCCCACTCCTTTCTCTTTACCATGTCCTCCCTCCCACATACCCAATCAAATGCTGAGTCTATTCTACCTCCACAACATCAATTCCTTCTTATCCATTATCCTATTTTAGGCCCTAATTATCCAAGATATTCTAACAGTCTAGTCTATAACGAAAACCTTTCTAATAGTATCTAATCTTAATTAATATATTTAAGATACTTTATAATCTCCTCCTTACATCTTTAAAATATGAGCACATAAAGGCAAGTGCGTAATTTAACACCTCACAGAATCTAATATAATCTCCTGTACACAGCAAGGACTTACTATTTTAATAATTAACTTTAACAGATAAATTTAAAACTTAGGATAACAGGTAGTCACCGACTTACAACGGGACTCCATTCCGAAGACTCCATCGTTAAGTCGGTCCTGATATAAGTCAAATACCTCTTTTTTTTTTAAGTTTTAATTATTATTGCCTTTTATTATCAGTATGTTTATAAATCTTATCAGTATCCGTCTCTGGGGTTGGAAACATTACATATAAACTTACAAATGTATTCTAATACACACATACATAAAAAAATACGCAAATCACGAAAAAAGGATGTTTTAAGTGCTGTTCATCATAACTGGAATACATTGTAATTCTGTTTATGAAATCTTCATTAAAGATGCTATTTAAGAAACTTCAAGTTAAAGTCATTTACTGATAATCTGAGACTAGTCAAAACCAAAATTTTATTTTTCTCAGATTATTCCACAACTTCCTTTTAAAAAGTCTCAAGAATCTTAAAAGAGTAAATATACAGTGAAATTAAAATCATGTTAAAAATTACACTTTGAAATATTGGCAATATCCTATTAGACCCATTATTTCTACTAAAGATAACAGTATCATTAAAAAATATGAAAATCAATATACGATCAAAAGTAGACAATGGCTGTCATCATGTACAATGGTATCTATCAGTTGCTTTCAAAATGTTTAGAACCACACTCTTTTCAAATCAAGTCTGAAATACATTTCAGACTCTAATTTGATATAGGTATATGTGTGTGTATAAAACAAAATTAAAGAGTTCCACGAACAGTTTAACTGAGGTAACTTGTGAAACTGGAGCTTAGTGTGAAAACCTCAAATTCTCTCCCACAACAAAAACCAAGGAGTAATTAAAATAAAAGATGACTAAGGACTATACATAGCTTTTAAGACTAAGTCAAGAAAATTGCTTTATGGGCCAATATGCCTGTACTTTGTTTCTGGGGAAGAAAAGAGGGGGTGCAACATGTCCTGCCCTCTTATACTTGTTTTAGCCTGTCATCATTTCATTTTATACCACAAATCTCACATTACATCCTAAATACCACTGCACAGTGTATGTTCCTTACTAATGAGCACATTAACTTTTTAAGAATTTCATGGCGCTCCCTCAAAACAGCTGCTATTGCAAAACCAAGTATGGACTCGGGACTGCACAGCAAGAACTATAAATTTTGTAGTATGTAAATTACAAAATAAAAACAGCAGAAAAAACAAGTTTGAAAGAATTACTGTCATAGAGTCCAATGAGTCTAAATATAAACTGTTTCAAAGTATACATACTATCTCATATATCTTTTCAAGCAGAAATTATATTAACTTCCTATTGTGAAAAAACAAGTATTTAAGAATTATCACAATATAATTTACTTACTGTAGTAGATTAAAATCAGTTGGTATTTCTGGAGCTGCTATCATTTCTTTATCATCTTCTGGAACGCTCCACTGTCAGAAATATATTCATATATTTACGTGGGTAAAATGATGATTTGCTTCTTTCTTCTAAGACAATTCCTTAAAATGGGAGAAAAGATGCCGTATTTATTATAAACACACCAAAAATATTGGGAGGAAATAAATATCTGTTCTCAAAAGCTAAATTCTCCACGTAACTCCTGATGTGTTTTAGTGAATAAGGATTTCTTTTCCTTGCATTTGATTGCTTTTCTAGACGTAAATTTGTTACAACTGTTGTACCCCCACAGTAAAGACAGATACAAAGAAGCCTGTTATCACAGATAATTATTTTTAAAAATTGTTAAGATTCTATAGCCTGATTTAAAAAGTATATACCCTAGAGGAACCAGATATGATTCTTTTACTGGCCCTGAAATCCCTACAACAAGTTTAAACTATAATACGAGATGCCTGAAAATTCTATGGCTTTTTGCTAATGTTCTACAGATATAATTGAAAGGAGCTAATAAAAGAACCCAAGATACAATTAACAAACAGTTTACAAGCAGGTATTCTTTCATCAAAGGACTTGATCAACAAAGTGAAATGACAACCTACAGATCTGGAGAAAATTTTGGGGAACCATATTTCTGATAAGGGTCTAGTATCCAAAATATATGTAATAAGATTTCAACAACTTGACAACAAAATGACAAACAATCCAATCAAAAAATGGGCAAAGGACTTGATCAGAAAGTGCACCAAAGAAGATATTCAAATGGCTTGCAAGCACATGAAAAGATGCTCAATGTCATTGTTGTTAGGTACCATCAAGTCGATTTCCACTCATAGCGACCCTGTGTGACACAGTAGAACTAACTAACCCCATAGGGTTTTCTAGGCTGTAATCTTTACGAGAGCAGATCACCAGGTCTTTCCCCCAAGGAGTCACTGGATGGGTTCGAACCGCCAACCTTTTAGTTAGCAACCAGGCACTTAACCATTCCACCACAGGGCTCCTTCAATTTTATGCTATTTAAAAAAAAAAAAAAAACCCATCGCCATCTAGTCTAATTCCAACTCATAACAACCCTATATGACAGAGTAGAACTGCCCTATAGTGTTTCCAAGGCTATAAATTATTATAGAAGCAGACTGCCACATATTTCTCCACAAAAGCAGCTCGTTGGTTCGAACCGCTGACTTTGCAGTTAGCAGCTAAGCGCTTAACCACTGCACCATCTCAAAACCACAATGAGATACTAACTCGCCACCATAAGAATGGCAATAATGAAAAAAAAAAAGGACAATAACAGGTACTGCTGGGGTTGTAGAGAAACTGGAACTCTTATCCACTGCTGGTGAAAATGTAAAATGGTACAGTCACTGTGGAAAACAATTTGGTGGTTCCTCAAAAAGTTGAACACAGAACTACCTACCATATGACCCAGCAATTCCTATCCTTGGTATATACCCAGAGGAAGTAAAAGCAGGAACACAAACAGAAACCTGAACACCAATGTTCATTCTAGCACTTCTCACAATAGTCAAAAGGTGGAAACAGGACAAATGTCCATCAACAGATGAATGGATAAGCAAAATGTGGTATATACATACAATGAAATATTACTCAGCCATAAAGAGAAATGAAGTTCTGATGGATGCCCAACATGAATGAACCTACAAAACATTATGCTGAGCAAAATAAGTCAGCTGCAAAAGGACAAATACTGTATGATCTCACTTGAAATAAGCAAATTCATAGAAACCTAAGATTATTCGTGGTTACCAGGGGTAGGAAGGCTAAAGGGGGATTTTGCATAGGAGGCACTGAATTTATGTTAATGGTGGTGGTATAATTTAGAAAAGGATATTGACAAAGGTTGTACAACATGAAGAATGTAGTCAATGCCACTGGATCATACATGTGGAAATTGAATTAGTTAGTTTTGTGTATATTTTTACCACAAAAAAAAACAGATGGTTCTTCCGTACAAAAAATATACAGTCTAAACTGTAACTTATTAGTAAATAACCACTTCATGATAATACCAAGCTGTACTGAGAAGGGGAAGAAATATTAGATCTGATCTAACTTACAATCAACTTAAACACCACCAATAATGTCATATGGATAACAGATGGATGCCATTTGTGACCAAAGTAAGTACAAATCTGGCGGTAAGAATTATTATTTCTAGTTTTGAAGGTCAAAGATGTAATTCCTAAAAGAGAGAATTATATAAAAGCACATGACCACTCTATAACAAAAAAGAAAAATCAGGCTGGCTCTGATAGTCTTGGTCTTATGGCATGTATCATTTTGTTTTATTCCCAAGTGAATCTAGTACTTGGTGACCACCTAAAGAAAAAACAGGTAAGTCTAAACATAGCAATTAATAATAATGTTCAAGTATAATGATCTCTTACAACACAGCAGACATAAAACTAACAATTTAAATTTTCCATTAATTTAAAATCTCCAGAAAACATCATGAAAGGTTACAAATATTTAATTAATACACAGAGGTTCAAAACATATTTCATAACTCATTCTAGTCAGGCTGCTACGAAGAGGAAAATAATGAGGTAACAGGAGAAACAAGAGGAATTAATAATCCACAAATTAGGTCCTAAATAATCAAGAATTATCTGTACCACCGAGTTTATCTTTTTTCAGAAGAGTACTGTGGTGTGATAGATCGCTTTTGTGTGTGGCCTTTCCAGCCAAGGTCTTTTAACTCCCACCCAAGTGACTGGGTGGGACTGTGTAGATAGGGTATTGTAGCCCACCAAAGGGACTGGCTGGTTTTGCCATCCTGCTGAGGTTGAAATGAGCGACCCCAGAGGCAAGAAAGGAAATCCCACCACCACCAAGGAATAACAGCCAGGAGCTAGCATGTCCCTTGGACCTGGGATCTCTGCGCTGAGAAGCTCCTGGAAGCAGGAGACTGAGAGAAATTGTGGGCTGTAATCCTGAAGACAGTGAGAAACAGTGGCAGGAGAAACCCAGCAGCAGAGAACCGGCAACCAGGCTCTCAGAGTGAGAAAGCTGAGTGCCTTTGGGCAGAGGCCTGGCTCCAGGGAGAGGCGTGCCTTGAGTACAGCTTTGAAGAGGCTGTCCCGAGTGTTCCTGAGCCTGAATTGTATGTAACCTGTTACTTCCCCAATAAACCCCATAATCAAGAGTAATGTCTGTGAGTTCTGTGTGACCATTGCAATGAATTATCAAACCCAGCAGAGAACTAGAGGGTGCCGTGGAAGGGACGGTTGGTGTCAGAATTGGTAAATATGGCGGAGAGAGGAGGGATGTTTGACCTCTGCCTCACAGGAATCTGCCTTGGGCTGTTGGTCTTGATTCTCCTTTCCCCTTGTGAAGTTAGAGGAAGTCAGGCACTGCCCCCGTGCCATTTTTAAAAGTACTCATATAGCAAAATCTTTATTTAGATATGACTGTTAGTTTGGTCTTCCCCTTGCCCTAAATCACTGCTCCATGATTGCTCCCCTCCAAGATCACAGGCTCTATCCTTATTATAACCTAAGGAATTATCTAAGTAGTACACCAAAGTTCTGAGGCTGCTCATAACATGTAGGACACAACTACCTTCCTCATATCCTAAAACATTTTAAAAATGAAACTATTTTCTTTTTTAAAGGGAGATGGAGAGGAATAGAGCTAGTAAGTTCTAACCAACAGGTCAGGTCGTCTAGGTGGCAAGATGGAAATAAAGGGTTCATGTGATGCTGTTATGTCTGTCTCTCTCTCTGAGCATTTAATAAAACCAAACATATTGCTTTCCTTAAATATACAGTTTTTATGCCAACTTTAAAAATAGTTCATAAACCTTAAAACTCTTAGAAGAAAACATAGGGTTAAGACGTTGGGACCTACTTTTCAACAATTTTTACAATGACACAGAAAGACAAAATAAATAAATGAGACTTCATCAAAATAAAAACTTTCGCACATCAAAAGACTTTTTCAACAAAGAGATAACCTAAAAACAGGAGAAAATTTTGGGGAACCATTTATCTGATAAGAGTTTAATATCTAGAATAAAGAATTTCTACAACTTGACAACAAAAATAACTCCATCAAAAAAATGGGCAAAGGATTTAAATAGACAATTTCACCAAAGAAGAAATACAAATGCCCAACAAGCTCGTGAAAAGATATTCAATATCCTTAGTTATTAGGGAAATGCAAATCAAAACCACAATGAGCTATCATTTCACACACACTAAGATGGCTATGATTAAAAAGACAGAAAACAACAGGTGTTGGTGAGGATGGAATGAACGTAAAATGGTACAGCCTCTCTGGAAAACACTTTGGCAATTCCTCAAAAAGTTAAACACAGAATTACCATGTGATCCAGCAATTCCAATCCCAGGTATACAACCAAAGGAACTGAAAGCAATAATGCAACCACGTACTTATACACCAATGTTCATTGCAGCACTACAGCCAAAAGGTGGAAACATCCTAAATCTCCACCAAAGATGAGTGGATAAACAAAATGTGATATATACATAGAACTTTGAATATTACTCAGCAATAAAGAGAAATAAACTCCTGATATTCGCTACAACGTGGATGAACCTTGAAAACATCATGCTAAGTGAACTAAGTCAGTCACAAAAGGACAAATATTGTATGATCTCACTCATGAAATATGTACAGTAGGCCCATGTTTATTAGTGGTTACCAGGGGTGGACAGGAGGGAGGGGGAAAGGGAGACTTGATGCTTAGCGGACACTGAGCTTCTGCTTAAAATCAAATCTGTGGCCATCAAGTTGATTCCGACTCAGAGCGACCCTACAGGACAGAGCAGAATTGCCCCATAGGGTTTCCAAAATTGTAATCTTTATGGAGGCAAACTGCCACATCTTTCTCCTGTTGAGCAGCTAGGGGGTTCGAATAACTGACCTTTGGTTAGCAGACAAGCATTTTAACCACTGCGCCACCAGGAATCCAGCTTCTGTTCAGGGTGATGGAAACTTTGGAAACAGACTGGGGTGATGGTTGTAACATGAATTGCACGTGTAAAAAATGCTGAAATGGTAAATGTTCTGTTACATATATATTTACCACAATAAAAAAAAAATTCAAGAC